ACCAGCGAAAAGAATTTGGGTGGGTGTCTGTGTTTTTGGGTGAGGCGGACTTATTAACTTCTGTCTTGTTGTTTTTTTTTTCGGCCTAATGGGTTTCTGCCAATGTACTTTTCCGCGTTGTTACCGTTTGGTATATCTTTTTCCGATACTTGTTGGGCTTTCCATTGTCTTGACATGTTTTTCTTTGAAAACTAGCCTTATTTTTTTCACAGATCTAGTTTTTTTGACATTTCTGACTTTTGTTGATTTTTTTCTGACTTAGCGGCTTTCTTGTTTTGTATTGCAGGTGTGCGAAGCTTAGCTTTGCCTCTGTGTGAGGTTTTTTGTTGTGGAGTTTTTGAAAATTGGTCTGACTCCTTTCTGCAACCTTTCCTGTCTGCAACCTTGCATGCTATGTTTATGTATCGCAAGTGATGCGAAGCTCCGCTTTGTCGCTGAGTTTTAAATATGTTTCTAAGCTTTGTATATAGCTGTTTTTGCTCTTCTCTGAAAAATCTGTTAATCATCTATTTTTGCGACTTAATATGGATGGTCTTAAACTTATTTTAATGCAGTCATGTGAGCGAACTTGCATGTTTTTTTTTGATGAAGTAACATTCAACTCCAGCATATTTTGTGCTGGTGTTAGTTTTCTCAATCTGGTTGACTTGGTTCTCAAGCATCTCGATTTTTTTCTTCACGGTTTTTTTTTACACTTGCTTAATTCATGAAGTTCCAAGTTTTTTGAGATTTGATATGATGAAGGACGAGTACAGTTTTCTCGGTGACCCTGATACCTTCTGATTTAAAAAGTTGAATATCATTCTTCTATTCAGATTCCAGTTTTTGTCACGGGTCACTCGGAGCTACTCACGTAGATAATGAATGGCTCGATATCCGTCGTCATTGTAATAGTTATAGTTGCTATTATGGCCTAGTTCCTAAAATTTTGCTGAAAATAGCTTCATGATTTGCTTTTTCACCATCAAAGTTCCTGTTATTTATGAAATCAACATTTTAAGATCAACATTAAAAAGATCAATCAAATGAGGGGTACGGCGCGGGCGTGAAAAAAAGCTTATTTCTTTTGTCGGGCCATTTTTCAAGTAAATATGCGTTGTTTGATACTTTTTTAAACGCAGTCATGTGAACGAGCCGTTGCATAATTATACGAGAAGTAAAATTGAAATCAATAAGGATATATTGATTTCAATAAGGATTTAATAAGAAATCGTGAAAATAGGAAGTCTAGATCAAAAAAGTAACACAAACATTATTCAAGTTCATTCGTATTCGGTCACTGCTAAAGAAAAGTTCCTTCCATTGCTTTTGATTGCAGTAAGATGTCGATTATCATCAGAAGTTGTCTCTGGAGATGTTGTGTCATGTCTTTTAGAAGCATCGTCTCTTGACACATCCGTGTTATGAGAAGAGTCTAAAATTATACAATATATAGCAAATGCCGAATCATTTTTAAAACCAAAATATCGATACTTGTCATTTCCGATAGATTTATTTGTCCTTTAATAATATTTAATTAAATAAGTATTATATATTAATTAAATAATTAATAATAATTTAAAAAATTTTTTATTTCAAATAGCAAAACAACAACTGATTTTATTATTATAATGATTTATAATAATTAGTTAATACCTATTTAGGCCAATTGTTCTTTTTTCTAAATTAATGTTGTCTGTCGGAACTTTTGCTTCAATTTGGGGGAAAAAATCATAATTTTTGCCTCTTGGATAGGTTAGAGCAAAGATCAGATGATTTACATGGACTCAGTTATAGTTTGCGACTTAAATATAATTGCTTTGCATCAGTTGCCAAAAAATGTTTCCCTCGCGAATAGCATCAAGCAAAGGTAATGCATCCGGCTACAAGGTTTTTCTCCCTGTTTTTACAATCAAGCTACTTACCTTAGTTGGTGCTGAAATACTTAACTCGCATGAGTTGATACTCTACAAAAGCACCATGCGAAAAACAAGTTAGGATGACTTTTGGACCTTCTAAATGGCTCTCTGCAAATTATATTTTTAAGTCACGACAAACTAGGTATATTGAGCTGTAATGGCAATAATTGTGTGGACTGTGGACGTAATAAACTGGTCAACATCTTACGAAAAATGTTTTAAGTTGACTTTCGGACCTGCGAAATAGCTTTCTGCAAATTATATCTGTAAGTCTCGACAAATCAGATATAGTAACTTCTAAGTTTCGGCTGCTCTCGAGATCACCAAACTAGTTCGTGGTTGAAAACTGAACTTTTGTGGAAACGAATAGTTTCTTAATAAGTATACGTTTCTAAGCTTTGTATATTGCTGTTTTCGCTAATTTTTGATAAATTAGGAAAACTTCATGTTAGTAGTGAGATTCCAATGCTTGTCATGGTTTACTCAAATCTACTTGCATAGATAAGCGAAACTGTATCTCTTGCGTAGATATGCGAAATTAATTTCGCGATTTCAACTTTGTTTTTTACCCTTGCGATAAACAAGGGTATTGCAATCGGGTGTTAGACTTTTTGCCCGTAAACAACTTAGTTTACACAGTGGTCAAAATTAGAAATCGTAAATTTAGGTTCAATTCAAAATGAATTCTAATTTCTTTGCATCTCCGGCGCACTTAGTCTGGAGGTAAGGAATGGGACGGCACATGTCCTGGGTTTGAATTTGACATGGCCTGTTTTTTTTTCGAACTGGAAAAAGTAAGTTTAAAAAAATATGTGGGCTTTTTATTGTCTGCTTATGTTTTGTCGGCTGAGTTGTCATATTGTAGAATTGTTTTAAATTGTTTTTTTTAGCCTATAGTTATTTTTAGTGTTCTGATTTACCTGTGCTGTTTGTAATTTGAAGTTTGATTTCGTATATCTTCCTTTAAATTTTTTTTCTGCCCAAATGATTTCGGCCTATTTTTCTTCGGCTTAGTGACCTAATTTCAAGTCGTTGCAAAGGACACATATTTTTTATGCTCACCTCTGGATCGCACAAGATGCCAAAATTGTTAATAGAATAATAGTTCAAGCTTTTCAGTGGCCTTATATTGTTTCCTTTGACCAACAAAAAAGGTTTTTTAGTGTTTGTGTTTTGAGAGTGAGTGGGACTTAATAATTTTTCATAAGTCTTGTGGATTTTTTTTGGCTTAAAGGGTTTGTGAAGTATTTTCGGCTTTGTTACCGCTGGGTACATTATCTTCCAATGTTCATTTCACCCTCTTTTGTTTTGGCATGTTTTTGTTTCAAAACTTGTCTTATTCATTTTGATAGATCTGGTTTTTTCGATTTTTCAGTTTTTGTTTTGTATCGCAAGTAGCGTGAAGCTCAACTTTGTTTCTGTGTCTTAAATGTTCTTGTTAGAATTTAAAAACTAATTTTTTTCATTTTTTCCAGAAGTCCAGATTTGCTTCTTTGTCTAAACGTGTTTTATTGAAGCTGATTTATTTTCATGACATCTTTGTGTATTTTCTAAATTTCTCATGTTTCCCTTTTTAGCTAATTGCAGATATATACTTTTTTGCATTGACAAAGTGCTATGCACTCTAAATTATTTACTGTTATGTCAGCGTTAGATACCAAAATTTCTACGTGGGCTTGAAGTGCATTTTATGCAGCTTTTTGTGCTGATTACTATTTTCAAGAAGGCATCGAGTTTCTGGTTTCTGATTCACCTCCTATAATGATTTTTGTGGCTTTAAATTATAATTTCTTCCGACCTTTTCAAAAACAAATCATGATTTGTATATGAATTTTTTGTTACACTCTGTTTTTTCGAGTTAATTTATTTGGGCTTAGGGGTTTCAGTCATTTTCTGTCGGCTTCCTCTCTGTGTATCAAAATGCAAACATTTTCAGGTTGATTTAATTAATTATTGAAATAATCAATTAATTCAATTTAATTTACTGGTGTTTCAATAGAACTTCACTATTGTAATTTTTTCCTCAGTCAAATGATGAGTGCCACTGTTGTTGTCATAGAGGAAAAAACTCAAGCAAACCAATAAGAATGCTCTTTCCGGTTATTTTATCGCCATTATACTCTGAAAGGACCGATAGAACTCATAGAGCCTCAAATTTTTTACTTGTCACTTTCAATTGTCCAGATGATCTATAGCATTTGAAATAACGAAATTGCCCCCTTTTCTAGGGCCGTTCAAAAATTAGAAATTGATTTTTTGTACATCTATTAATTGCAGCTAAATGCAGTGTTATTTTTTAAGGCCTGTATTCCACTTACTTGCTGTTCCGATTTCCTTGCGCATTGCCAAATACAAAATGAGCATCATGAAGAAGAAAATGATGCATCCAGCGGCTATGCTTCCGAAATAAGTCACTGGCTTCAAAGAGTCGTCATCGAGCAGACTGTTTTCATCTGACTGCCCGGCGATTGTTGATATGAATCCATAGCAAAGCGTAAAGATAAGTTTCACCTTAGAAACGTGGATCATATCCATTGTCAAAAACTCAACAGTCAGAAATTTTTAAATTTTTGTTTTATTATTATTTTTTAAACAAATAAAGGCGGCCTACTGAGAAATTAAATATAGAAGATCAATTATATTTGTCGTATTCTGCTGATATATGATGCTTGGTATCAAAATTACAAATCAAATAGTTGAGTGTCTGCTTCTGAGCTTTTTATTAATGCGTAAAAAGTTGATTGCCAAAAATAATAAACATAAAACTAATTTTGAACGTTTAATGTTAAATTTATTGGTGCTTTTCAGCATTTTCAAGATGTGCTCATTGCTGCGTTTAGTCGGCGTGTTCCGAAGTATTTGTTTTCAAAATTATATTTATGCTCAAACAAATTGGCGGATTTGTTTTGGGAAGTTCAAAAAGATTTGCAATCTACCGATTTTCTTCAAAAGAGATTTGTCCGATATCGGGAATCATATTTGCAATCTTGTGTTCAGTAAGCTTTGAGCATTTTGGTGAAAATAGTTCAGTTTTGGCTATGAAATTAAGCGTCGGTTTAAAATAATCTTTTTTTTTCAACGCCCGTTTTCTTTTTCAGATCTTTGTCTCAAAATAGCTTTCTGGTTAGTTTTAAGAACTGTGGGCCGTTTAGCTAAAAGAAGTTTGAAAATGGTGAGCGAGAAAAAGAAATGCAGTTTTATTGGAACCCACAATGGCCAATTTCACTGTGACGAAGCCTTGGCTTGCTACATGCTTAAACTATTACCTGAGTTTGAAAATTGTCAAATTAAGAGATCACGTGATCCCGCTGTGTTGAATGAATGTGACATAATAGTGGATGTCGGGGCCATGTATGACCATTCAAAGATGCGCTATGACCATCATCAGAAGGAGTTTAAGACCACTATGAAGGATGTACATGCACATATGGACTTTACGACCAAACTGAGCAGTGCCGGTCTGGTTTATGCACACTACGGAATTGACATAATGAAAAAAATTTATTCGGGTCAGTCAATTTTCTGTCGTAAAACAGGTTTCGCATCTCTTTTGATCTAAATCGACAATTAAGAGTCCTTGAGATTGTGTCGTGATATATCGTAATAGAAATTCCATTTAAAGTTTGGTCAAATTTCAACATATGCATGTAAAACTGTTAAGTCGGTTCACTTTTTAAGACACGTATATAGTTCGTGATCATTTAATATTATTTTTTTTGGAAGTTGTTCACGCTCAAATGTGACTTTTCTTGGTTTGGCTTATGATTTCTTGTTAAGTTCAGTTCAAATTCATTTGCTGAAAGGAAGCAAATTTACGCTTTTGAAAGAACAAAAGTTCAAACTGCGCGAAGAAATGTGAATGAATTTTCGTTCCGAAAGGGGATTTTACTTTTAAGATTTTCTAGCGGAAATTGAAAAATTACCTTTTGACCCAGTTTTTCAAAGGGGTTTAGTTTTATGGTTAAAAATCATTCGTAAAAGATTCTGTAATTTAAAAGAGCTTTAACTTGGTAAGACTAATGAAAGTAGTGAGTACTCTTTAATAGGTCTTGGAGATTTTTTTGTTTTTTTTTCTGGAAAAGCATTAAAATTTGTTCACGCTACATTTTAATTTTTCGCGGTTTGACTTGTGTTTTCTTTTTAATTTCAGTGCATTTCCATTTTTTTTTAAAAAGCAAACTCCACTAAAGCAAAAAGTGTTCAGGTGACGAAAAACTTGATCGATCTCTAATTTCGAAATAAAAGTTAATTATCAGATTTCTTAGAGAAATACAAGTTTTACCTATTAATCCAGTTATCTCAAATCGGGTTAATTTTAACGAAAAGTTGTCCATCATAAATTGTTTTAAAAATTCAATTGGCTTCAAGCCATCTGTTTTTTCTTCGAGATTAAAAAAGTGAAGGTTTTTGATAAAAACAAGTCAGTTTTTTAAATTTCCTTGTGTGCATTACTCTTTTTTTAACTGTCAGTTGACTATGTTAAATTTTTCTCCGAATTTTTATAGCTGAGAAAAGTTTAAAAATAGGTCAAAAAAATTTTTTTTGTTGTTTTCGTCAGTCCATTGACACTTCCAACTACCTGTTGGCTTTGTTTTCAGCTCTCGGTTTTAAATTTTGCACTATATTTCAGGCGAGACTGGACTTAGCCACATCAAAAATGACGATCTAAAGCAACTTTACTCAAAGGTGTATCAAAATTTTGTGGAAGAAATTGATGCGGTTGATAATGGTATAAATGTGAGCGACAGTGACAAAGTGAACTATCGAGTAACCACCACAATCAGCAGTCGGGTAGGGTTCCTGAACCCAAAATGGAACGAAGAATCTTCTGAGAAAATTCAGTTTGAAAGGTTCGAAAAAGCAATGCAGCTAGTTGGAACTGAATTTGTTGAACGTGTTTTGCATTATGCTCGCGTTTGGTTACCAGGGCGTGAAATTGTAAAAACTGCAATGGAAAAAAGACTGAAGTTCCACGAAAGTGGTCAAATTGTTGTATTTGAGGATATTTGTCCACCTTGGAAGGACCACCTCTACAATTTGGAGAAAGAGTTGAACCTTCTGGAAGATTCTAGAAGGATCTATTACGTTATTTATCAAGATTCGAATGGTGGATGGAGGGTGCAATGTGTTCCAATGGCAGAAGGATCTTTTAATAGTCGGCTTCCACTGCCTGAAAATTGGAGAGGAGTTCGCGATGATAAACTGTCGGAGATCTCTCAAATTCCTCAGTGTGTTTTTGTCCATAGTTCTGGTTTCATTGGAGGGAATTTGACTTACGAAGGCGCTCTAAAAATGGCAGTGATTAGTTTGAATCAGTTGAATGTAAACTAATCGTTTTGTTGTTTTTATTTTTGAGTTAGTTCGTGAACCCTTTTTAACAACTCATTTACTAATATACTTTTCTTTAAACTAATTTTGGGAGAGAAAGGAGAAATGAAATTAAAATGTGTGGAAATACCAAGTTTTGGAAAAAGAGTTTCAAAATTTATAGTCGAAGCGGTAGTTAAACGGTATTCGTTAGTCTTAAATTTTAGTTCGATTTCCAGTTAAGATGTCTCAGCAATCAATAGTGATTTTGATGCCAAATGGACACCGGGAAACAGTAAAAGTCACTCCAAGCACAATTCTGAACCCCAAGTTTGTTGACCTTTGCACCAAGCATGGCTTCACTGCAGATGACTACATCCTGAAATCGTCCACAGGGAAGCCAATCGACTCTTCGATACCCTTTCGTCTTACTGGGATCCCAAATCGAGCAGTCCTGGAAAGTTGTACACGGGGTCCAGAGTCGAGTGGAAACCAGGATCCGAAACTTGTAAACGTCGCTGTTCAAATTCCATCAGGCGAGCGTCAGGTCGTTGATATCGAAGATACATGTCCCTTGTGGGATGTAATTGAGAGGCTCTTGGAGAAGTGTCCTGCGTTACTTGACGAAGATGACCTTGAACCTTGTATTTCGTTCATGGGACACACGTTTCGAGGACCCGAGACGTTGTTGAACAAGACCTTGCGGGACTGTGGGTTGTCGGGACGGGCGCTTTTGAGATTGACTTTTGCTCCTAGAATCGCAGTCGACAGCACGTCTTGTATATCAGATGAAAATATGGATATAACTAAAGCACAGAATTTGATACTCAGACTTCACAAAAGGGAATCGCCTAGAGACGAAGTCGAGATCAGCAGTGCCAAAATAGCTTCACAAAGCAAAGATGAAATCATCAATGCGAATGTTTTACCTAAAAGCGAGTCAAACAATGCGCAAGTATCGCCTCAAAACAGTCAAGTCGAATTTGCCCAGCCTCTAATTTCGTCTTCAAGGTCATCTCACCTGCCTGATAATCTTCAGCCTTTTTCGTGGATACCAGAAGAGCCCTCGACGAGTAGGCCTGACAGTATGAAGGAACCAGAAATAACTGGAACCTCTGAGCTGACCTCAAATAGATTTGCCAATTTCAAGTTCCCAGAAAAGTCAAGCGAGGCAATAAATGAAGAGCTTACGAGAAGAGAAAGAAATGAGCTTCCGGCGTCTTCTTTGGAAGATCGAGAGTTGAAGGTGTTTTGTGTTAAGAATATATCGACTAGTATTGACACAGTTCCTGATGATTTCTTCGATATCACAACTGAAGATATAAAGTTGATGCAGAAGTTGCGTGAGAAGGAACTGAACGGTCTAATCAACCAGCCTCTCTTGACTGAAGAGTCGAGAAAACGAAAAATCATATCAAAATATTCGAACTTAACCATGCTGCGATTTGTGTTTCCGGATCGAATGGTAATACAAGCCAAGTTTCTCATTACGGAAACCGTTCAAACTATGTACGAGTTTGTTGATTCGGTTTTGGCGTCTGAAAATTTGAAGAGCTATTATCTGTTCACGACACCACCTAGAAAAATAATAGCGAAACGAGAGAAGAAAAGCCTATTCGATCTGAATTTATTCCCAGCTGTAAATATTCATGTTAGTTTTGGTGAAAATGACGTTGAGTCGTATTTGAAAAAGGACATTTTGGACTTGCAAGTGGCCCCTGAAATAATCCTGTCAGGAACTAACACCAGCAACCACACATATGGCGAAACCTCAACTGGTGATATGATTACTCCTTTGTCTACCGGGCAAATAGGCTCGGAACCTCCGAGCGCTTCAACTGCTAGTGGAAGCAGAACGGCTGCCAGCTCCCGAAAAGTTCCGACCGATGCTCCGAAGTGGTTCGCAGCCGGACTAAAGAAATGAAGCAATTGCGACGATGAGATAGCTTTGCTTTTGAGTGAGAGAATTATAATGTCAAACCAATTTGAAACAAATTTTTAATAAATGTTGATTTAAAAAGATTTTTTTTGAAATGTTTCGATTAACACGTACACGCCTGTATATGGGAAAATAATAATAATGTAATCTCTGATGGATTGAACTATCAGAGAAAGATCTGTTGAACTTTGGATTAAAATGAATAGATTTTGGTCGTTATTATCCCGACGACTAAGTGGAATGAATTTTTTTTTTGGTGTGTCATACTTACTTTTTCCTCGCAAAATCAGGTATTCTTAATAATTTTTCTACTTAATACTGTCCGTTCATTCTTTCATTTCGATTATATTGCTTTAAAAAGAAATATTTCTATCAATTTTTTTTTCAGTTGGATTTGAGTCATTTGATTCCAACGTCGGTGTTGTTTTTTCAAACAAATTTTTATTTCGAAAATTGTGCGAGTAAATAACTTTTCCTGCAACAAGAGATGATTGAGTTGAATCATGTAGTTGATTAGGTTCTTGTCTATAGGAATCAGGGAGTCATATGATAACTAACTGTATGCTCGAATCAAATCCAATTAACTAAGCGTGCGACTTGAGCTTTGAGGTAACGCCCATGTTTGGTGGCCCACTGCGGGAAGATTTCCAAGTCCGGTCGGGACAAGTAGTTTCCACAAAAGCTATATTTCAAAAATGTTTTTTAAGTCTGAACTAGATGAAATGAACTTGTGCCAAAGTCACTAAAATATTTTTTGTGTCGTTTGAGGGAAAACTCGATTTTAATTCTCTTGTGTCCTGGAAGCGGCGTGTAAAAATTAAGAATTTCAGAATTTTTGAAAGGTTTTCATGATAATTTTTTTTTCGACCCAATGAGAGTTTACCCAAATTTGTCGGGTTAGTTGTGTCTCGATGAAGGTTTCTGAATACTTTTGTAACGCCTGTGATTGTGCTTCTAGACGTCTGTTCTTCATATTGGTTGAGTGGTTCAGAAGATTTGCTTTCATTTTCTGCCAACTAGCTTGCTGTGCCATGTTTGTATTGTATCACAAGTGTTGCAGAAAACCGCTTCGCTTGTGTTCGATTTCGTAAAGTGAGCTTTTTTTACATCAAATTTGTGTAACAGTATAGCACGCTCGTGTCTACCCTAAAAACTAGAAATATATGCCATTTTTTCTTCAGTCATTTTTTCTACGCATGAACCATGGAATAATTTTTACTATCACAAGTGACACGAAGCTCCGTTTCGCCTCCATCTTACACGTGCTAGAGCATGTGTCTTTTAATCAAGAATTAGACTTTTTAAACATTGCGATAAGAAAGGGTGTTGCAACCGGGTACCAGACTTTTCCCCCGGAAACAACTTTGCTGACAACATAACTGAATTTTAAGTCATCTCCAAGTCTGTACTTTTTCAACTAAGAGACCAATTTTTTGAGCATGTCTGATTTTTAAATGCCCGGTCTTTTCGACGTTTTTTTTTCAGTTTTGTTTTAAATTTGCCTACTTTGGAGTTTCAAAGATTCAAATATACAAATCAATGTTATTACCAATCTTAATATGATGCTGTCAATGTAGGTCGGTTATTATCTCGAACCTCTAAACTCTTGAAAACATGCAAAAATGTGTTTTAAACTGGGCAGCTGGATAAAAGAGCTACAAATGTATTATTATCGAATGTAATTTATTACCCCTCTCTTTATATATGCAACTACAGGAGTTCTTCTTCTATCGAAATTACTTAGGGTTAGATGTGTTGTTCAGCAGCCACAAAGGACTGAAGTCGAGACGATTCAAATCATGTTATATTTTTCGTCACATTTTGAAATCATTGTCAAGTTTTTAAATCTGATTTTTGATTATCATTTTGGCTTTTCTTCCCGTTTTTATTATGCTGGCGTTTATCTAGCGTTATCAAATAGGAAGAAAGAATTTTTCGATTTATCAATTTTTTAACAAAATCATTTAATTCGTTTGGTGAACTCTTGTAATTTGACATCATAACAGATATATTTTCAGCATGTATGTATTTTGGACACCCTTTCTATTCAATTTTTTTAATGTTTACAAGTTTGACGATTCAGACTTGGTCCATTTCAGGTTTTTCTGCTATTTTTTCTTTCTGTTTCAAATGGTGATGATTTTTAATTAGGAGTCGATGAACGTATTTTCTCGATGAACGTAATTTACTTTTTTTTGCGGTTTGATTTTTGATTGATTTAAAACTTCAGTTCATTTCCTTTGTTAAATTGAAGTCAAACTCCACTATTGACAGATAAAGTGTAAATAGCACGAAAAACATGATTGTTTTCCAGCTTCGAAAGTGTAATATAGCTTTCAAATTTCCCAGAGAGTTAGAAAGATCAGCTATCGATCCAGTTTTTTTCCTATTTTATCAAAAAAGTGTCAGTTATAAATTGTTAAAGAAGTTCACAGAGCTTTGAGGCCATCTATTCTTTCATGGAAGTTCGAAACTTTTCAACTCAAAAAGTTTTTTCAAAAATAAATCAGTATATTTTTAAGAGTAATGAACGTAGTGAGGGCTCTTATTTAGGTCTTGCTGGTTTTTATCCATTCAATTTTGATTTTTCGCGGTTTGACTTGTGATTTCTTTGAAAATCAGGCATTTCCCTTGTTAAAAGGAAGGCAAACTCCACAATCGAACAGCAAAAGTGTAAAGGTCACGAAAAACGCGATCGACTTCGAATTTCAAAAATGGAATTAGTTATCAGATTTTTTTTCTTCTTGAAATGAAGTTAAACAAATCGAGACAAACATATGGAAATTCTATTGGTCTTTGTCGACCTTTTTTCAATTTTTTGTCTCTGTGCTTCAATTATCCTGACGATGCACTTTTTCTTGAGAAAACGTTTGAGAATTTACTCTTAAACTCTATTTTCCATATTTTAGTTCGGATCAAATAGCAGCGAAGTAAACTCGCGTAGCATTCAATCATCTAACGCTTATTAAAACTAAGTCACTTTCGCCTTTGTTATGTTTAATTGAACTTTATCTGAAGTTTTTAATCTAAAACAACGAAATAAACTCGGGTAGGATAGCATTCAACCATCCAACGCTTAATAAAACTCAATTTTTTTTGGCATTTGCTATGTTTAGTTGAACTTTATCTCAAGTTTTTTTAAATCTTAAACAGTGGAATAAACAGTGGTAGCATTCAACCATCTAGCGCTAGTTTATTTTTTTATTTTTAGCAATTATTATTTTTAGTTGAACTTTATCTTAAATTATTGACGGAAAACAACGCGAAAAGTTTAAGCAATGAAAATAATGTAAGTAGCTTTGATGTTTTCAATGGCAGATGCTAAATGAATGGAAGAGAAAATAGAAAAAAACGAAGCGGCTGACAGATCTATTCTGTGCTATGATTGGCTCTCTACAAGGAGGAGTATTTTGTTTAGTTGGCAAATACCAAATGCATGGCAAGTAGCTCTTGCTTATGAAGCCTGTCTGCTTATACAAATGAATTTAGAAAAAGAAGGTAAAAAAACTGAAAATAATATCAATAAGTGGCTCAGCGGTCGATTAATGAGTAGTAAGCTGCCGTGTAATTTGAGTTACTGGTTCGGGCTTAGTGGAAGCGATGATCTTGCATGGAGCGGTATGCTATGCTGCCTCTGCGCTGAGTATTCTGAAAATTCTCGCGACGATTTCTTATATTCGAAGAAATTCTTCAATGGAAGACGGGGGGCGGTGCCTTCTTTCGAGGCTATTAACAATCATTATGTAGAGCCTGATGGTAGTGTATTTTGGAATTTTGAAAGATCTTACAAAGCATCGATTTCTAACTCAACATTTTGCTTACTTTGCTTGTACTTGTATAAAGCTTTAAAACAAGATTGTTATTTCGAGGCAGCAAAGAAAAGTGCCAATTGGCTTCTTTGTGAGTCAAAATTGTTGTGTCAAGTAGATAATGGCCGGGGATTGCGCGATGGAATAAGAGAGAATGGATCGTTCGATAATACATTTTGGACTTACAATCAGGCTGTAATTTTGAAAGTTCTAACGGAGTTGTATCAACTCACAGGCGAAAAGTGGTATTTCGAGACTGCGCTGGAAATTGTCGATTTTGTTCTGGCTAATTTGGTTGAACGACGCACAGGTTTGCTATGTGAGTTTGCAGGAAAGAGCATTAGAGCTAATTTATCGACGGATGCGAGATCTTTCAAGGGCATTTTCATGCGATATTTTGCAGAATTTTTATCTGATAACTCAGAATTGATAAACCCTAAAGAGCGACTGAACAAATATTGCGCCTTTGTTCATAGCAATGCCGAGTCAGTCTGGGTTCACTGTAAAAATGAAGAGCTGAAGACATTTTCACCCTACTGGCATCTGAAAACTAGCGAAATTGATCAGAATGATACACCATCATTGGTCGCTGCAATGTCTTTATTCACAGCTTCATGGACCCTCAAGTTAGACGGACTGTAATAATCTCTCTCTAAGTTAGGCTGCTGCTTTTTTTAATTGCATTTAGTTTGTATTAGCTGTATATTCGATACCAGCGAAATATGATGAATGCTTATCTGGAATCGATTTAACTGGTATTAAAAGCTTTTTCAACTCCGCACATTGATCAGCTGTTTTGTATTAAACTTTCGCTTGAATTCTTGAAAGTATTCTGAATTTACAATAATTTCAGAATGAGAAGTTAGATTTATCTGAGTTTTGTCGACCTTTTTCTTAGGTTGACTAAATTGATTTCCCGAGCTCTCCCAAAACACTAAAAAGACCCTGTTTCCGCCACTTTTTTTGCGCCGCAGGCAAAATTTTGAAAAAAAAGGCGTTTTAAGACACTTTTGGATAATTTTGACCAAAAATAGCGGTTTTTTGGCGCGCGCTCCCCCCTCAAAATTAGTATATTTTGGCGCCAAAGCCGCCTTTAGAGAAACTTTAGGGTCAGTCTGCCAAAAAAAGGGATATCTCAAAGTAGTACAAAAGGGGGATCCTTTAGATCGGCAGGGGGTCGAATCCCCGAGGGAAAAGGGCGTCCCGTCCCCTATATCGTCTGGTGGTTAGTAGTGTAGGTAATTTACACTAGGATTAGTAGGTGGGGATAGCTTTGCTTGCGTTCTTTTAAGTTCAAGTTCAAAAATGAACAGAAGGTGAAACCAAGCTATGGATCAATCCCTAGTTACAAGTTTTTGTGCTCTTGCTCCAAGATAAAACTAAAGATTCTCAAAAAGATTTTTATCAATTTCTGATTCAGAGCAACTCCAAAGAAGTCCAAATCAACTCAAATGTTGTTTAAAGAAAAAACACAGTTCCAGCAACCTTAGCTTTCTATTGCATCAAAATATAACTTCAATCGCAATATTTTGAAAACTATACATGTACTTAAGTTACAACGCTGCATACTGTTAACAGGAATTTCAGCACTTCAAATGAGCAGTGAAGCAAAAAAATAAATTTTTGTAAATGTGAAATTTAGAATTGTGAAATCCCTAGCGAAATACTTTAACTGCTAAAGAAAGAAAGAAAGAAAGAATTTATTTCTCCAAAGTTATATCAAAATAATTAACTCGGAGAGGATAGACAAAAGGCACATTGAGCGCCCACTTATAGTCTACCCGGTTTACATCAACAATTCAGGTTATTTAAACAAAATAATGATAAAAATAAAATATATTTTTGATTTTTTGATATTTCCATTAAAAAGGCGATATTTCGGATATAATAAAACTATTGGGGGCAGTCCTTCTATTGAAGCACTGTCACCGTTGTTAGAGGATATATGTAATTGTGGAAAGAAAAAAAAACAGCTGGAAAAAGTCTACAGCGAAATACAATTTTGGCGCAATTTTCGGAATCTTAGTTCTGAGCTGCCAGGGATTTCGTCAAAAGACAGGCTATCAGACACCGACGATGATTGAGACGACAACAAGTCTAGCTCCGTCAACCGCTTCTTTGAGCGGCACAACAAAATTTTCGGTGAGGTCAGGCGAGTCTTTCAGCCTTTTGACCAGTCTCCATTCAACTTATTTGAGTCCAATTCTTTGGGTTTCCGTTCGAGAAAAAGTTTTGAAATTGCGTGACAATTCTTCAAAGCGTATATGTGAAACGTTTGTTTGGTTACCCTTTTCTTGAGATTTTCTTCATGTTTCATACTTCTGGTACTGATATCTAGTTTTATTTATCTTCCGGCGTGCAGATATTCTGGCTGATTCTTGTTTTTTGCCTCTTCTTAATTGTCGCTTTCTGTACCACCATTGAACTCATCATTTTGTCATTCTGTTCTTGGTCTCGCTCCGTGTCAATAAAATCAGGTCAATTATGGACATTTTGGGCGTTGCAGTTCGTCAAATGCAGGGTGCTCGGCGTCACTTGCATCTTGCTAAATCTTACAATTTTTGTGTTGGAATAACTTTGCCTCATTGTAATTATATGCCAATTTTGCCCTGTCGAATGACCCTTAGATATCTTCAATAGCTTTTTCGAAAACATAAATAACAGTGATGCTGTCATTCTCTTCTGAAACATAATTTTTCCTATATTATATCAAATAAACAACTCGAACATTTTTCGGTGTTTTTTTTATAACTATGGGGCGATATAGCTCTAAACTATTAAGGGAAATCCTCTAATGAGCAGTGTAGAAAACCTAACTCACCATTTTAAGGCATCATTCATGTTCAAAACCTTGAAATAATTGCACGTTAAGTTAGATAACAAACTTGGTGCCAGACAGTTTCATGACCTTCAATTATTATTGCACATCGGGCCAAGGAAGACTTGGTGACTCAACTAATAGGTTTTTTAGTTTATTGACCTCTAGTAATCTCTGGCCTTCAATGAGTGTGTAAAAGTAAGAAATTTGGATAATTTAAGGTAAGAAGTTTTACAAAATTTTAATAAAAAAATTTCCGTCTCCGTTATTCAAACATGAATTACTCTCTCATTCACTGCCACCGCCCTTAGTGCACAAACCATCAAAATTAAAAGTCAAAAACAGTTTATGATTTGAATAATGTGAGTACTTATCGCGCCCATTGAGTTGTGTATATAAATATGTGCTAAAAAACGCGCTCGCTGCCTCCCTATTTTGATCATCGCTCCTTTTGTAGTCACAATTGATCAGATAATAATCACACTTGCGAGAGCAAGTGTCTTGTAATCGGGAGCTGGACTTTTATCCGTTAACAACTTTTCTTAAAAGAAATTTAACTTGCTTTATTATTGAAACCTAATAATTTCCAAGTTCCTTTCAACTTGACTTGAAGGTAATGCAGTTGCGTTTGCAGTTTAAGGTCTGGGGCTTGAATCCTGGTAGGGCCTTGTTTTTTTAACGTGTATGAAATTGGGTTTTTTTTCTTGTAAAAGTTGAATTATTGGACTTTCGTTTATCTGCTCATGTTTTGTCTGACTAGGATCTTGCTTGTGGCGTAGGATCTTTCACATCACGGATTTTTTTAGTGCTGTAAGCAAAAATCGTGGAGGTGCAGTCTTAGGGGGACTATTAGTTTTTTTTATTGTTTTTCTTACAATCAGTTTTCTATGGCACAACTGGTGTCGGCTTTGTTTCTGCTTCGTAAGTTTTGTGATGTAGCTAATTTATAATGCAAATGTCTTGCATGGCATTTTGAGCGAGAATTTTTTTCGATAAAATCAGTTTTTATGAAAAGGTGTGATATTGGTTTTTTTTAATGTTTGGAGACGCTTTCGAAATTTTTTTCACCTTTTGCGAAAATTTGTTTTTCGAAAATTTAACTATCTATTTCCAAGAAAAGAGTATCAGTGGAAATACCTTCTACTTCCCTGTGTGCCTGCATAATCCTTTAGTTTCTTTTTACCTTACCCCACTGTCTGCAGCGTTCGAAAAAGTCTGTGGGCTAATATTTGACCCTTATTTTTTCGTTTTCTCAAAAATTACACAGAATTTGGGTTCAATGATTAAAACGAGTTAAGTGAAGCTCTCCTGCGTAAACGGCTATGCCCAAGTTTTTTTACACAAGAATCTATGGCCCTCGGAATATTCAAATGTTTGATTTTTCAACATTTTTCGTTTCTTTCCGAGTTTTCCCGATAGCTTACCATGCAAGTTTGAGTTTTTTTGGTTCAATTCAATGGCGTTTGGATGAAGCTCCCCTTCTACGCTTAAATTTTATTTAAAAAACTTATGGCTCTTATGAAAACTTATATGTCTATTATAAAAAACTTATTATAAAAAGGTATTGATTTTTCTCGAAAAGTACCTTCCCAGATCTGCGATTTTGAGTTCAATCGAAATAATGGGTGGTGATAAGCTTCTCTGCATAATCGACTACGCTTCGTTTTTTACACAAGTTATAGCTCTCGGAAAAGTCAGGGTTTGTTTTTTTAACCGTTTTCTTAATTTATTTGGCTTTTCGTGTTTAATCGAAATAACTGGTTGTGTGAATCTCTTTCGCATAAGCCAGATTTTTGATTTTTCACACGGTTTTTGGAAACATGAGTTTTCTTGAAAACTTCCCTGCCAATTTTTAGCTTAAGTGTTCGAGTAACCCTGTTTTGGGAATGTGCTTAAGCGGCTACTATCTTCTCGGTTGACGGTTTTTAAGAAACTTTTTGACTTTTCTTAGAAACTACTCTGTCAAATCTGAGATGAAGGGTTCAACCGAAAGAATCTGTTGCAAAAATTTTTCCAATAGAAACGGCGACTCAAGAAATATGTTGTCTTGGGAAGATTTCAATATCTCAAAATTTTCGCTTTTTCTTATTATAGTAGAAACACCTAATGTTTTTGGGCAAAGTCAATTTTTTAAGTTACTCATTTCATCCCACATCAGTATCCCAAATTCCAAAATATCAAACAGCTACCTTCAGCTTTGGCCGGGACCCTAGTTATATTTATCGAAGCATATGGAAATTTTGGTTCACCTAGGCTTTTTTCAACAATTTTCTTTTTACACACGATCAAAATTAAATTAAACAACTAAACAATTTAAGCGAACGCATAAACAGTTTGTAAACAGAGCGAGAAAGTGTTTAGCAAATTTAGTGAACTTCTTAAAATTTTGAAATGACATTTGACTTTGAGAAGTCCAAATAGCCGACTATTTATTTGTGCATGTATGGTAGTATGTTCTACTTTAAATGTCTGTACTGCAGGAATCAGAGTTTTACAAGTTGAAAACAGTTCTGCATGGGGTGTTCTTGAACATTTGTACCTTGAAAGGCCAATTAAATAATAGATAGATTAGAATGAGATTTAAGATTTAAAGGTTCATCCAAAATGAAGGATTTGAGCAGTGAAAGTATCTTCAGTTCGCAAGTTATGCGTCTTCTTTTCTCTCCAATCAGCAAGTTTACTTCGGGTTGTTAACGAAGAAAGTTTTTTTCCGCGAAGCATCTTTATTACCCTTGCGATAAGCAAGGGTATTGCAATCGAGTACTAGACTTTTTTCCCGTAAACAACTTTGTCCACACTTCTAGACGATCTCCTCTTATAGAGGATCTTCACTTCTAGAGTATTTTCTGATTTCAGTTTGGTTGGGTCGTAAAAACTTTTGAAATTTTTATGACAACAGTTTTGTTTTCGGCTGAACAGGTTTTTTGACCCAAAGTTTGTCGCCTTCGGTGGCGCTCGGTGAATGATTTCTATTTTTTGAGATATATTCAAAAAACTTGATATAAAACATAATTTTACATGGTTGTTATAGTGATGACAACAATCAGTTAAGCTATTTACAAATATTTTAATCAATTTTTCAAAATCAGCTAGCATGCACAATACTACAGCTACAGCTATGGATGACAAAAACATATCACATATTACTTTCATTCATTTAATAGGTTTTCCCATCAGTTTAAAGCACAATCCTAAGGATTATTGGATCAGGCAACTTTTATATTATTTGTGTGTTTTTACACAGTTTTCTGTTTTTAGAGAGATTTCTGACCTCGCAGATAGAAGTTTAAGCTGTGTTAAGTTAGTTAGTTTGAAGTGCAGAGGCGGTTAGTAGTGAATTTGGTGGGTAAGCTAGTTGCCAAGCAGGTCATTTATCGACCTTTTCACGCAATTAGTAGTCTTATTAGGGGCTATTTTTCTAGCAGTATTTTCAGTTGTGACAGGAGATTTCATGCTTCGGATCTCTGTCATTAGAACATGGCTCCCAGGGGACTTTTTTCCCATTCCTCGATACTTTTCACGGCGTTTTGTCGTGTCACACCTCGGTGCCACTCTTGTGCGTTAGGGCCGAACATGTACTTGTACTTTTTGTTCACGGGTTTGATCACGCCGTCCTCGTAATAGTGGCGCAGTGCACGCGTGATGCTGCCAAGTTTGATCTGTTTGTTGGCGCCCTTTTTGGTGAACTGTTTGTAGTTGTTGTACACTTGTTCCAGAAGGTCGCTGTCACTGATGTGGAAGATACCGGACCCCTGGCTCTCCCACTTGATTATATGACCGTACTTGTTTTGGTTCAACAGTAGCCACAGAAGCAGTTCCCACAATTTGGCCGTGTTCAAATTTCCTGCAAAAAAAGCGTTTATCATTTCCACAAACATCTGTTGGTGTAATTTGCAATCAAAACTGAATTATTAACGTTTTTCATTATCACTTTTAAAATGTGAGTTTAATATTTGGGAATATGAGACAAGATTATTGCGAAAATTCTGTTTTTCTTTAATGAGTTTGCGTTCCTGAAGATAAGTTGATCAGTACGTACTGGTGCCTTTATTGGGTCTGTCCTTCTTTGGCTGTCTTCCCCTGGCGGGAACTGACCATGGAACAGATGCATGGGAGCTGTCAGAATCACTGGCACACAACACCGGCGATTCCAGAGCATGTGCTGCTTCCATGACGTGTTCAAGTGGAGATGAAATCATGTGAGCTGGGGGAGCTGCTGTATTCACAACTTGGTAGGCAGTGTTCGCCATATGAAAGTGTGTACCTGATTGTTCGCTCGGGGAGAACTCGAAATTGGACTCCATGATTCCGCCGGGGTGACTTTGATGGCAGGGGGGACTATGTTTTTGCTCGTAGCGTCTGTATTCCTCGTACCAGTAATGGTAATCCTCTGGCTTTATCACCTCGTTAGTCTTTAAGTGCATACCAACTACGTGATTCAACTGTTGGACATTGTTGTGTTGCATTTGCATGTTGTACACGAAAATTGGGTTGTTATTGTTCAAATCCTGAGATTGTCTTACGAAAGAAGAGAAGTTGAATGGACCGTTGAACCCTTTTTCGGTATAGTATCGTATCTCTAAAACAAGGACAGACTCAAAAATCAGCCAGAGTTCGCTTCTCGCGAAAAAATTTAAGTCCGAAAACTGGCGACACGGTGAGTGTACTTCTTGGTTATTGGTTTCTGCCTTTGTATCAATAAACTGTGATGTAGTAGGTGTTTGAAACCTGTTAGATCAGAAACTGTTCTTGAGACCAAGAAAGAATTATTGAAACCATATTTTCAAAGGATATTTTTCATATTTGTCAAGTAGATAAAGATAAATGCTTATGTGGTGATTGTTGTTTGTTTTTATAATTGAGTAATTTTTGTGATTGATTTTAATAGTCAGAAAACTGTCGAAAATATATTATTAAAGAGTTCTATGATATTATTATTTTAGTTAATGTTTTTCATTATTCTTGCAATGTGATGCACATTTTAAGTTTTTTTTTGTTGTTAAATGTGAACTTCAAGTCCATATTTTTTTCCACAAGCATCAGAAAACTGTCGAAAATATATTATTAAAAAGTTCTCTGATATAATTATTTTGAACTAATATTTTTATTAATCTTGAAATTTGATCCACTTTTTTTATTTATTTTGTTGTTAAATGTGATCTTTAAGTCATATATTTTTTTCCACAGTCATAAGTTTTGCAGTCAATGAGAAAAATCTTGATCTTGAATTAATATATTTAAAAGTACTCACCCGAGAATTCCTTGTCTGCAATTCCGAATGAAGTAGCGAGTTGACTGTCTTCGTTCGACCACACTTAAACACAGCCAAAATTTCAAACAGATGAAAAATGAAAAAAAAAAGAACTGCTATCACATGTTATCTTGGGTGATAAAAAAATTTGATTGTTTCGTATAATTTTTTTTCTTTTGCAGTGGGAATACAATCATTCATAAAGTGTTTTTAAGAAGGAATCACGAATTAGAGGATTGAAATTTGCAAGGGAAACTAGAATCCATTCGAGTTTCAAATGATTGCGAGTATTGTAAATTTGAAATTATTCTATCCGAAAAACTTTGAAAAAAAATTTCTTTTTTTGCTTTTTTTTTCAGTTCTGCTCAAGAAAAGTACTAACAGCTCGGGCTCAGTGGAAGTTCTCTGCTAGCCATGTCCTCTCAATCAACAATTGGAAACAAGTGGCTGACTAAAACAGCACCAATCCACTTGAGTTTTTTTATCCATTTAGAAAAACTGCGTTTGAAAATTTTTTTTTGTTCAAGAATTGTTGTTTTTTTCATCCCTTTAGAACAACAGTGCGTGTTAAAAAAACTAGGGCAAGACACTAAATTTTGTGGCAAATTTTTCCTGAAAAATCTACAGAATCCATTTTCGATGTTATTTCTGAAAGTTTCTGGAAGAAGCATCAAAAACTGGGTGACCGCTGGGTTTGGTAAGTTTGATGCCAAAACGCCTTTTTGAACGGCTTCGCGTTTTTGATCACAATTGATTATATTTAGACGTCTTACCTTTTTCGTGCAGCGTTGTTGATTTTATGATCGAATTAAGCGACAGAGTTTTGCAAGTCGTTATTCAAAAATAAAAATTGTTCAAATTTTTTGGTCTGGCAACACAGGTCAAAAATTGACCGACGGATTTTCTCGTGTGCATTTTTATATCTGCTTATGTAAAAATTATGATTGAAACTAAAGAAAGCGCATGTACTTTTTTCAATTATTATTGAAAATAAAGAAACTGCTTTTGGTTGAGTTTTTCTTTAATTATGATTGTAAACAGAAAAAAAAACGAGTGTAGTTTAGTTGTGCTCAAATGTTAAAATAAGTTGTATAATACCACAATCAAAAAATGAAAAGCTTCATAAAATATGAAAGACTTTAACACAGTGCGAATCATGCTTTTTACTCCAACAAATTGGCCTTTAGACAGTAAGACAAATTCGAATGAAAAGCACATAAGAGTATTTAAACCTAATAACGAATCGTGTTATTATCAATTAAGTTGCTATGTTATGGTAGAGAAAAAATAAGTCTTAAGATATCAGATGGTGCCTAGAAACCAAGTTCCTTCAGAATAGAGCCTCCCCCCCCCCTTACGCACGTGTACATATCGTCAGCCCAGCCCCAGCTCATAAATTGAGAGAAGGCTATTTTTTTTTTAAAAAGGGGGTAAATAGTTATAAACAGAGATTCCTGTCGAGTCGAGTTCTTCATTTGACCACGAAGCATCTCAGAATAGAAGACAAAAATGGGACCTCTTTAACTATTCCCCCTCCCGTGTGCAAAAGGGGGGAGATTCGTAACTGGGGGGGAGGGTGCAAGCGAGAGAGTTAGAGAAATGCGAAATATGAAAGAAGATGTGATTTAATTACCTGAAGAAGTCATCGACCACTGTTGTAAAATGTGAACACCAACACAGCAAACGCGTTCAGTCAACTGAGAAAGAAAAGTGATGGCCGAACGAGCTAGAGATAGTTTACTACAGTACAGTTCTAGTTTGTGACTTGACTTGATTTCTGGTTTTATATATTTACTTGGTCACCGTAATGTATTCTGAGAGCATAGAGGACAGAGGTGTGTTATGATGATATGCTGGCTTGGTGTTTAGTTGATTAGGCGATTCGTTTCTTGATTGGATTGTGTTTAGGTTATTTTTGCGATTAGCTCGGGTTCGGATTCAAATCGCCGCTATGCTAGACAAGCGCTGTGACTCCGCTCAAAGCAAGTCAGTTTGGTTTATTTTTGTTTGCTCTCAAAGTCCGAATAGGCCAAGTTGATTTGGTCTTACGTTGATTTAGTTTTGTTTCTTTTCCTCTACCCGATGGTATAGATATGAACTGAATGATATGATGATGATTGTAGTTTTTGTTGTTGGCCCGTCCGTGACTAGTTGAAGACAAGCGTACTGCAATTACCAGTAATGAGCATTCAGCTTCTAAACAACTGAAAGTATTACGCAGCTCTACTGATTGTCAGAAAATGCCTTGGCTTGTTTATAACTTTTCAATCAACTGTTTTTTAAAAAGAGGAATTAGTTTGAAATTGGGGACAAGACGTGGGTAGATGTATTTACGGAGGGGTCCTTTGTGGTAGCTAAAACAAACGGCTACGTTTTCAATTAACAGCGGAGTCAGATTTATTTTAAAAATAAAGTGTAATTTGTTTGTATTGTTAAGTTGACAGTAATTATAAAGCAGCTAATAATGATAGAACCTCACACGGTAAATGTAGACTCAAAGTCTCCAATTTTTTTCACTTTTCCTCAAAAACCATAAATTTAGCTTGTGTTTAAATTGAAAAATAAAGGTATTCTGACTTACCACGCTAAAAGGAGCTGCGTTTCCTTTTAATTGATGTCAGAACAGACGTTTCGCGGAGAAACATTATAAATAATTGATTGATAGTTAGTGTTGAAGTTGCCAAGTTAGTTAACAGCCTCGCAAAATGGCGATTTCCTCTAAAGAAGCGATGGTGACGTCTTTAAACTTAACGGAGTGAAGCTTAACTCAGTAAACTCAAGTGGCCCGAACTCTGTTAATAAAAATATTGTTATGTGCTGCTAATGGTGTAAAAGTGCTTTTAGTTAGCTAAAATTGCTTGAAAAAAAAGAAGCGAAACTTTTCTCCTATGCAGATGTAGTTCAGTTAGATTTTTAAACAGTTTAAATAATAATTTAACTCGTTAATAGAAGTTCTGAAAGAAATGATCAACTTTTTAACGAACCTTTTTTTATTCAACTCGTATTTCAAAAATTAACAGCATGAAATAATTCTAGATCGAATAGTTTTCGCTAGAGATGGAGTTAACTTAGTCTTTTCAAGGCGAAGGTGAAGTTGATTGGCGCAATTTTTGGTTTTTTATTTCACGTTTAGAAGTTTTTTTGCGCCTACCTTGGGTGAGAGTAAAAAAATCATCTCATAGAGTTTTGAAAACCAAGGAAAATTCCTAGTTCAATTATGCTGGGTTCGATGTATTTTGCGTGGAGTTGGGTACAGCTGCGGTAGAAGGTTTCCTAAAATCTGCAAGATCCGGGTGTGATAAATGGTTCTTAAGAATTTTTAAAATTCATTTCTTGGGTCTCCCTCCAGAAAAACAATCAATTGGAATGAGCAGTTCGACAATTTGGGGTCATTTTAGTTTGTGGTAAAGCCCTGTATAAATTGTTGATAATGATACCTGTTTTTTTATGATAATGCGGAAATTTTTTTTCACGAATGTTTATACTTGCAGCTGCAGGGACGCTGCATCGTAATCGTTCTTCTAGCTTGATATTCCGAGCCACTTTGAAACACAATAAGTCGCTACTGCGTGAAATTGCTCTTTAATTTTTGCAAACTGTCGATATGAAGCTGCCAGTACCGTGCCGAGGAAGCCGACACCCCCCCCCCTCCCCCCTCAATTCTGGACGCCAAACAAACCTAATTTTTTGGTCAAAATTTTCCAAAAAAGTGCTTAAAAACGCCTTTCTAACCTGTTTTTTTTTATTTGCCTGTGGAGCAATTTTTTTTTTGACAAAATAAGGTTCCGTGTAGTATTTCCCGGAGAGCTCAGAAAATGAAATAGTTCGACCTAAAAAAAGTAGGCAAAATTTTCGAAATTTTTTGAAAAACCGCCCCCCCCCCCCCCCCCCCCCCATAAAAAAATCTACATCTAGTCTATTGATTAGATTTTTGTATTTCAACTTTAATCCTCATTTTTGGAACTTACAGAATTGTTGGTTTTTACTCCCCTTTTTGTATGTGTCAAATTTAATTTGATGCGATTAAACATTTTAGTTAAGGTCAAAAAAAGTGAAAAACGATTTTTTAAAAACGGTGCCGAAGTTCTTTAACTCCATTGACTTTGTAGTAATCGATTGAAAAGCGGTAGCTACGGTTGGCTATGTTTTAATGTAAAGGACGAACTTAATTACTGTAATGCTCCATTAATTGGGTAATGGTGATTTATTCAACCCAGTTAACTCTCTGTATTGATCTACCTTATTCAGAGCAGAGTATTGACATCTCTTTTTAAAATCTATTTTGCTGTCACCGCTTTCAAAGACATTATTACTATTCGCTCATGTGTTTTCATTGCTTTTCGTTTTAGTCGTACAAATAATTGGGCAGAAATGATTTTTTTGATCACCGGAAAATTAGCCAAAATAAAAACATTTATAGTCCGTTACCTTCTTCGTAAGCGTGAGAAATTTCGTTAATTGAAGCAACAAGTATAGAGTATAGTGTTTTTTTTTTGCAAAATTTCGATATTTCATGCATTTTTGATTCGCTTTTTTGCAGCTTTTGAAATTCTTGATTGCTTTCGCTTATAAGGTACGACCGGCCGAAAAAAAATTGTTTGAATATTTGTTTTCGACTGTGAAGTTTGTGCCAACTTTGGAAACCTCAAAAATTGCAAATATTTAGTTACCCAATTTATGATAGTTTTTATGGTGTTTTATGGATAAACTGACAGAGCGGTCAAGCTTATTATCTCGATTGATAAATGTTTTTTCTTTTCCTTATTGATATTTTAATAACTTTTTGACTCAAATGTGAAATGAAAGCGGCGGAATCTGTCGTAAATGCTGTCTGTTCTTAGATTAAATAGGATCTGCACTATCACTTGTGAGTCGAAATTGAATTCTGATTTCAAACTGATTTTAAATTGTGATGAGTTTATGCCATGTGACTTTTTTCAGTTTTTCTATTCAAATAGTTACTTAGATGAGTTTTCAGATGAAGCTGATGTTTGGGATGAAACTCTGCCTTTTCTCTTTTGAATTGTTTTGTTATGTGTAATTTCAGATTGCTGTGTTGAGTTAATTAGTTCATAGACTGATTACAACTGATTTGTATGGAGCCTGTTTTGGAGCAGCAGCGTCGCTACCACGAAGAAAGAGAGAGGATCATAGAGACATGTGTGGCTGAACAGATGGCAAAGCATGAGACGCACATTGAGAAGCTAGCCGGACAGCACAGAGTGTTTGACCTCCGCCAGAGGTCAATTGATCTTTAATTTTTCTTTGCTATGATAACAGCTGAAACGCATATAACTGCTGTTACCAGACCGTTCCCCGTCTTTTTTCAGCAACAAAAATTAATTCGAGCTGTGCACGTGGTTTCTCTTCGAAAAAAAAACATTTTAAATTTTTTTTGCTCTTAAGTTTCCCAATTCTTTGCTCCTCACGTAAAATAGTACTTTGCCGTGAGGGGTGGTGTTAATGACTGCAATAAACGTCTCACATTTACAAGTGTTGGTGCAGTTTAGAACTACGAAGGTCATTTTGTTCATGCTTTCGTAAATCGGGTTTCAGAAAAAATCACAACAGACACTGGAAAAAGGTCACAATTTTTTATACTATCAGTTTTTGCAATTATAAATTTAATTAGAAAAATATGCGGCTGCTCATGTTAATTGACTTAGATTTAGCTGTGTTGCCGTTTTTTTTCCAGATGTTTTAGATCTTAGTATATCAAGATCCAGTTACTCATTTTTTCGGTTTGGCATAAAGTTATCGTCTATGAAGTTATTCCAAAAAAAATAGTTGTAAAGAAAGAAAGAATTTATTTCTCCATATATTAAATCATTACATTCATCAAATGAAAAATAAATTCAAAAGTATTTTTCATAAATAAACAAATCAACATGAATATGGAGAGGATATACGAAGGTCAGAAGATGTGTCCACTTAGAGTCTATCCATAATGTTCTGAGATAAAAAACATAACTTAACATAAAAAAGTTAATGAATCATTCTACGTTTTTAATCCATTTATTATCCAAGTTCCGATGAACCACAAGTTACCAAAAGATTCAAGCGCTGTAAAACTCAAATGGTTTTCAATTATTCCTTTTCAAAGACCAACAAGACTGCTCGTATCAAGGCGAAGCCCTGAATGTTCCGACTGCCTTTTAAGGTTTTATGGAGCAGTAATAACATCAAAAAATTAAATCTATCAAAATAAATTGAAATTTTTTTTTCTTAAATTTGAAATTTTTTAATGAAAATCATCCCCCCACACGCCATATTAAGTACAAAAGGATAAATTTCGCTCCTTGTAACAAATCAATTATGGCAAATAAGATTCTTTCAACCAATTTGGAACGATTTTAAGACAGATTAAATCTCCGCTTACGCGTTAATAGCGCGAAATATATTGCGCGTTAATTGTCCCAAATTGGCCAAAATGGCAATCTTTAAACCCCCATAACTTTACGAAAAATGATCACAGGTGAAAAATCTTTTCAAATTTGAGCTCAGGACAACAATACCTTTTGAATGATATAAAAAATATAAGATATGAATGATATAAGAAATTCCGTCAAAAATGGCTTGTCAAAAAGTCGAAATTTGTCTGAAGAAAAAAAAACTCACCCCGAGCACAAATATTCCGTTACTTTCGTATCGAAAGTCGGAACAATAACTATAATCACACTTTCTGATTAAAAAATGGATACTTTGCTTGGGTTTCTGTGTACTATTGTACTTTCAATACTTTGAATGAACTGTCTTGTATAAAATTGTTACACGCTTTCGGATAATTTTTTTTCTCGCATTCAGGGACCGAAACAATTAAGCTTGATAATGCTGTATTTCGGTGTGCTCAGAATATGTAATTTAAATGTGAGAAATTATATGATCAAAATTTCTTTGCCGATTTGTTTTACAATCAACTGATGTAATTTTCCTCTTTAGCAATTAAGTTGCTTTTAAATTTGGTGGATACAGTTACTTGAATTGAAATACTTGAATAAAATGTTGGTTGATATCTTTAGAGTGTTTTGATGAGAACAAGACCGAGTTCTCGGTCATGATTTTTTATACTGGAAGAAAACTATGGCGTAGGGTGGGTTTTTCCGCCGTATTTTAGGGACTTTTGAAAAATTTTGCACAGTTAAGTTTGGTATCATGTTGAATCCTTCTAAAATGTGATTTTGTTCCCAAAAGCAAAATCGGTGAAGTTTTTGAGAAAATTGGTCTGATTTTATAGACTTATTTCCAAGGCAGACTAATTCAAGCCCTGTGCTACTACGCTCCCACTCTCCTTTCACTGTTATTTTTTAATAAATTTTTTAGCTTTTTTGTCTTTCAAGCTTTTCGCCGTTCTAGCTTTTGTGCATTTCAAAGGTTATTATTATTATTATTATTATTCCCTTCCTTGCCTAAGAAAACAACAGTGAAATATTTTTTGAACTAAATAAAAGTGCAGCAAGTTTAAATCTAGTGAAAGCAAAAGCTTCATTAACTTTATGAAAGCTCACACGTGAATATTACGGTATGACAAAGTGGTTTTTGATGTTCTGTGAAAATTATGTTTTTCTTTGGAGCTCAACAAATTATCTCCCGTTGGTTTTCAAAACTCAAGTATTCATCCAATCAATGCTACTTTCTCAATATGGTAGTTCATAAGAAATTTATTCACTGAAATTATAATTTTCTGAAATTTATTCAAATATTTTTGTTTATTCAATAATTTTATAATAATCTGATCACCTATATTTCTTTCAAATCTATAAGGGTGCGAAGGTATTTCTAGTTAAATGAAACTATAGTAGAACCTAGTAAGAAGTTATTTTTTTTAATTGATGGAATGAAGTGAATATATTTGGTTTTTGGTAAAAGAATCCTAAATTTAGCCCAGGTTTGGTTTGTCAGCCCGTCTTATCTTAAAAATCTGTTTGTAATTTTAATTTTTTGGTTCAGCTTACTTTAAGTTTCGTCATTGGACATTCGTTTAAAATTAAAACTTTTCTTGATTACTGATAATAAAGTTACCAGGCGCCCTGTCGTATCTCAAGTACACAAGTGTTGCTTTTAGTACTCAAATTTTAGTCTCAAGTAATGAAATACTGCCGATTAACAGTTGATTTCAAGCGTTTGATTGGAATCAATTGTTTTTCAGATTTTATCAGCGCTATATTTTAAAAATTAATTTGTTCACGCGTTAAAACTGATGTAACCTGTTTAACTTGTTCACGTTTTTTAAAAATTGTAATTGTTGAGTCATGAAAATTTTTGCCAATCAAATTTTGATTCAACTTGATTAAATTTCAGAAATGTTGAACGGGATATTATCATGTTTTTTCAAAGTTACTTGCTAAATATTGGAAAATGCTAAAAAGCATCCAAAATTTTCGTTTCTTTTTTTGTTCTATACTCAAGTTTCATCTCAGGTTTTATCTCAGTTTCGACTTTTCGAAAGTTTATTCTGTTTCATAAGTTTTTACCCGCGTATTAGTTTTTCTATCTGGTAAGAAAAAAGTTTTGGCTTTGATTATTTCTTGATGTGACCAAATTCATGAGCTAGGTCAGATAACACAATTCAGATAGAACCGTGAGCTATTGTACCGTATTTTAGTTGTTGTAAGAATGATTCAGTCGAGAAACAGTTTCACTTGTCGGAATAGTCGGCGTCCTAATACGACTAGAGGTCTTTCTATCGAAGCGGTCATTAAGTTCTTTGTTTCGGCGAGACTAATTGGGCTGTGACAATTTACTCTTTAAACAGATTTAAGTTCAGTGATATGATATCCGTATTTGGGTTATCACTATATGGTTCTTTTCGCTCTCAACCGGTTTATCTTGTTTGGACTGAATTAGACGCCTTAAAGTATAAACGAGCCGCAAATAAGTACACATGCATCGTAACTAGTCGAAAATAAATGTGATGTTTTTGGGTTGCATGTCATATCAAGTGATCGCTGTAAGTAAGTATTTTTTCTCTTGCGAAAGCAAGTGTCTTGTAATCGGGAACTAGACTTTTTAGCATGTAAACAACTTTTCTTACAATTTTTGCACTTGCTTTATTATTGAATGTTACCAGCCGATAGGTTCTTTTGCACTTGGCCTAGTGCTAAAGCCATCGTCTTTGCATCCCAAGGTCTGGGGTTCGAATCCCGGCCGGACCTTGTTGTTTTTTTTCACTCTATATGCAATTGAAAACGTTTTTTTTTTCGGTAAAAATTGATTTTTCTGACTTTCGTCTTAGTAGGCAAATCAAGTATTTTTCTTGGGCTGTAAGCAAATATCATGGTACCACGTTCCTTGCAGTTTCAGGAGCGACTTGAAATTTTTTAAAGTTTCAATTTTTTTTGGCTCAACTGGTGTCTGCTCAAAGATCGTCGGCTTTGTTTCCGCTTAGTTTGTTTTGTTCCGTTGCTTATAGACAATTCAAATTTCTTGCTTGGCAGGTTTGCCTAGATTTTCTATTTAATAAAAACAGGTATTATGAAAATGTATGGGATTGGGCTTTGTTTTATTTAGTTTTGAAACGCTTAGGAATTTTTTTTTACTTTCTGCAAAAATTTAAGTTTTTCTGAAAAACTATTCTACCAATTTTAAAAAAAAGTTATCAATGGAAGAACCGTAACCGTTTACTCCTGTGTGTCTGCACACTCCACTAGTCTCTGTTTATTTTGCCCCTTGTCTACAGCCCTCGAAAAAGTTGGTGGGTTAATGTTTGACCCATGGGTTTTTCTGTTTTCTCAAAAATTACCCTCCCAAATCTGAGATTTTGATTTCAATGAGTAGAACGGTTGTTGGAAACCTCCCCTGCCTGAGCGGCTACGCAAAAAAGATTAACACCTAAAGTTATGGGCCTTGGAATAGTCAAATTTTGATTTTTTGATCGTTATTGGAAATTTTTTTTAAATTTTCTCGAAAACTACCCTTCCATATCTGAGATTTTGGGTTCATTCTAAAGAAAGGTTTATGGGAAGCTTCTTTGCATAAGCGAATACGTCCAAACTTTTACACAAGAAGTTATGGCCCTCGGGATCGTCGGAGTTTTGATTTTTTGACCGTTTTTTGAAACTTTTTGACTGGACTACCTTCCAAGTTTTTTGGGCCCAATCTAAATTATAGGTTGTGTGAATATTTTCTGCCCAAGCTATTAGGCTCAAATTTTTTCTACACAAAAAGCTTTAATCCTCGGAAATGTCAAATTTTTTTGATTTGTAGACCGTATTGTAGACTTTTCTTGGTAACTATCCTGCCAAAGCTGATATCATAGGTTTAATCGAAACTGCAGGTTGAAAGTCTAATTTTCTAATCGGCTACGCTGAATTCCATTTAGATAAAAATATGGCTTTCGAAAGAGTCAAAGCCGTGTTTTGGAATTTTTTTGACTTTACTCGAAAACTACTGCGCCAGTTCGAAGCTTAAGTGTAAAGTTTTAAGATTTCGGAAAGTCAAATATTTGAACTTTTTAACGTCTTTCTTAGAAACTTTTCTTAGAATTTTCTTAACAATACCCTATCAAAACTGAGATGAAAAGTTCAATCAAAAGAACCGGGTGCAATAATTTTTCTTGCAGAAGCAGCGACTCTTTCTTTTTCGTAAGATAATTGTCATGGCTTTGCGAAAATTTTAATGTTTCTAAGAAACAGCTAGGGTTATGGGCCAAGTCCAATTTTTGAAATGACGCATTTTGTCGCGCATCAGTATAGCAAAAACAAAAAAATCAAATAAGTACCTCCAGTTTTAGCTGGGCCCCTAGTTGTCTTTTATCGAGACTAGAAAAATTTGGAAAAGTTTGTGTTGTATCGCAAGTGGTGCGAAGTTCAGCTTCGCTTCTGTGTATTATATATAAGTTTGTACAAAAATCGTATATTTGTGGTAGAGAGGTTTAAAACTCGAAATTTTGCCTGAATTGGTAGCTAACAAATCGAAGTAGTCTTTAATTTAGTATCCGGACCCTGGTTATGCGAAATGAGCGTTAAATGTTTATTAAATTAGGCTCGGATCTGCTTAACAATCTCCCCCGTTCAAGAAATGGGGGGATTTTTAAGTAGATTAAGTTAGTCGAATTTCTCACCAATCAGAATGCAGCAAAATTAGAATTCGCAAATAGAAAGCTTTTGTGCTAATTTACTGCTTTAATTTATAGGGGTGGAGATTCTTTAGTACATACCATAAGGGATTGATAGGTAGGTCCTAAGGCTTGTTTTGAGCATTGCATAACTCTGATACAGGGGCTAATTTTTACGCCACGGAAGAGATGAGACTTACGATGTGAAGATGTTGTTTTTGATGATGTTTTTCTGGTGTAGATATCTGCAGACCACTGGGGAGTTGGTGGATCTTTACAGAGATAGAGACCACTCTAGGAGAGATGAGATCCAGGCCATCTCAGCCCCAAACGAGTTCGAGGAGTTCTACAACAGATTCAAATGTGAGTCAATCGAGTACTTAACCACCTGCATTTTTGTCAGAATACATGTAAGATGTAGAAAATCATACACTGGAGTACAGTGCTGATTTAAATTATCCGGACAAAACGAACAAAACTTGAATTTTCAAACGCGTTTTTCTCAAATTGGGTTAAGATTAGACAAAAAGTGAGGAGAACAAAAATTGCTTAGAATTTCACCAGAATTAATATAGTGCCATTTTTTCGCCGAAATTCTCAACAAAAATTTTACCCCAAAAATGGGTCATTTTGGCTTTTTTCAATTAATTAATCAAGAATTACGCTGCAACTACTTTGTTAATTGATAAGAAAGTTATATCACAGGAAGCCTTTTACGCAGCTCAACAAAGTTTAAGAAGGGTTTAACCTCCAAAAATTTGCGCAAATTGTTCAAAATTTATTTTTAAACAGAGATTCTGGGTTTTATAGTAAAAATCACATTTATTGATTATCAAGTGAAATTTTTTTCTCTTATATTGGTTTTTAGAGATTTAACCCTTCTTAAACTTTGTTGAGCTGCGTAAGAGGCTTCCTGTGATATAATTTTCTTATCAATTAACAAAGTAGTTGCAGCGTAATTCTTGATTAATTGAAAAAAGCCAAAATGACCCATTTTTGGGGTAAAATTTTTGTTGAGAATTTCGGCGAAATGGCTCCATATTAATTCTGGAGAAATTCTAAACAATTTTTGTTCTCTTCACTTTTTGTCTAATCTTAACCCAATTTGAGAAAAACGCGTTTGAAAATTTAAGTTTTGTTCGTTTTTTCCGGATAATTTAAATCCGCACTGTAGAAGAGCATTTTCAATAAATGGTTCAATAGTAAAGGAGGTTAGGTGTTTAAGATCCCACAGTTTATTAGTAAACGCCATGGTCAATGAAGCTTGCCGTTTGGTTCTTTTCTGATACACTCACTGCAAACCCACAATCTAGAAGTTTCCATCCGAAGGTTTTTTGACACTGATTGAATGAAATTCATATTTATGCTTAAAGCTAAATTCAGACATTGAGCTGAGAAATTGGCTTTATTCGATTTTTCATTTGGTAGATTAAAAGAAAAGGTTGAGAAAAGTCTCACTTTTCTTATAATTCTAATTAATTGTTCCAACCAATTGTGTACAGTGGGAAAGAACTATAAAATAGTGTGAATTTTTCCAGCCGATTTTGACTGTCTCAAAAAAAAACGCGAACATGTTTAAATGAGACATCATATCAAAGCCACTTCAGTCTTGATTCGAATGTTGAAAGAGGTTTCAAAAGTTTTCTAAGAGAGAAAGCTGGTCTTTTTTCTCTGATATTCAGACTCAAGTTGATATTTTTTGCTAATCAGACTAAAAAAAGCTTATTATCAGCGAATAGTGAAGACACATTATGAAACTATTTCAGTTGCTTGTACAATGTGATGTTTACTTAATGAGCTTTAATGACTTAGAGAAATCTGTGGTTTTGTTAGCTGCAGGTTTATTCAGGTCTGTAAGAATATATTTAAATGTGTTTTTTTTAAATAAAACAAAATATATTTTTTATTTCATCGCTAAAAATGAAAATATTTAAAATGTTTTTGGTAATTTTTTGACAAAAAATGCTATGGGAGCATCATTTATTGATACTTGTTCAAGTCGTTACATTTCAGTGACATTTTTTTAAATAAAAAAAATTGTCCCTCGAAGTTACATGTAAACAAATTGCTTCAAACGTGTAAAGTGGATTGCGGTCTATATTTAGACAACCGCGTGTTTAGACACTGTATTAACCAATCAGAATCGAGACAAGGAACAAATGAATTTGTTATCTTCCTTTTCTCTGTTCTGATTGGTTAATAGTCCCTGGGTTTATTCACTTTCAGAGTAAACTTTTTAATGTGTTTTTGTCGTTTGAACTTAAGAAACAATTATGGGAGACAGTAATGCAAACAAAAGGTAAACAAGGCGCCTAATTAAAAGGAAGTTATTATCCGAAAATTGATCACTATCTATTGCAACTGTTAGTCTAATTTTTGTTTGATTTCGGGGCAAGCAAGTTGTGAACGAATTACTTGTTCGCTGCCTTATTCGTTCATTTACACGCTAAAACGCATTCGCTTTATTTGTTTTGCTTATTTTTAAGTTCGTTGTTTAGAGCAGTCCCATCTCCTTGTCATTCACTGGGTTATCCTATGTGGCAGTTCAAATAGCTGAAAAAGTGGCCTAAAAATATGATAGGATGGATTTAATATCCCGGCCTAAAAATCAAAGTGCTTGTTAATGCATTTCTGTAGATAGGGTTAGTTGGGGAGGGTTCTCATGTTGGAGGGACCGAATGCTGGAAAAATTTCAACCAATCAAAATCGCTAACCGTTCCTATTGGTTAAATGCCTTTCCCGCAAAATCGAAGTCAATATTAACAGAAAATGATATAATAAATATACTAGATGCAGGTATAATAGGTGAAGGTATAACAAAGTTGAAGTCAATATTAACAGAAAATGATAATATAATAAAGATACTAGATGCAGGTATAATAGGTGCAGGTATAACAAATTTAGTTTTTTGTTAATCCTTTTTTCGTTAATCGGTATCCTAGAAATATTAAATTTGTTCCAATCCTACTTCGATCCGGCATTAATTTCATACATCTGCTTATTATATAATCGGTCATTATTAACACTAATGGCCTGGTTTGTTTTTGCTGAATTTGAGATTTTTGTGCGATTTTCCTGAGATTTTTGAATACTCAATTCTGATTGGCTGAAAATAAGCCTAAATAAATTTCAAGCATTCGGTCCCTCCAGCATGATGGACGCCACCGGGTTAGTTTTTTGAATCATTTCACCTACGTGCTCAAAGAACAGCTGCGTTTCGGTAGAATGATGTATGAAATCTTGAAGTTCCTGTCATTTCATATTTGTAGATACATATTCTTTAGAAAAGGATTTAAGCAAGAGTTCTTAAATCTCTTTGGGACATTTGGTTTTCCTGAATAGCAGCTTACTCCAGATTTTGTCTCGGAGGATTAAACTTTTAACAGAACCTTTTTATAAATTGGTGATATTTTCCTTTGAGTTTTGAGGTTTTTGTTTAAAGTATTCTTGTGCGAAAAAAAATCGATCAAAGAGTAAAAGATGATTTTGCTTTGGTACTGGTGATTTTGAGAAGAACGTCATAGCCAAAGGTATGACTGATTTTGAGCTAATAACTGTCGCGTTTATCAACGGCAGACAATACGAACCTTGATAGTGATAAAATAATATTTGGGGCCTAAGAAATTAGACGACAAACAAATTAGGCGACCGTAACAAAACGGAATTTACGGACAACCCGTGTTTACTCAGCCAAAAGTTATTTTATGTCTGTAAACAAAACTCACGCAATTTGCACGCAAGTTATTGTCTTAATACCGTTATTTTCTGATCGTCTAATTTGCTTGTCGTCTAAGTTCCTTAACCCCAATATTTGGATAACCGTTCCAACTGCTGTATTTATACTCACGTATAATTGGCGCAATTTGTCCTAGATTGATTTCGATTTCTTACATTTCTAGGTTTCGATTTCTTTGTTTGTGCCTTCCATTGCAAATCAGAGATTCAGTTTATCATTACATTAAATTTGACGCCTCTTTCGGGACAGAAACTGACATGATGATTTATTTTGTTGTCTTTGATGTTAAAGTTAAGGGCATGTTTAACCTTGATTATACTTCGAAGAATAAAATCTGGGTTAATTGAGTTTAGGGCGTTACATCTAACGATCTAGAAATTTTTGGAATATCCTTAAAGGTTTTGATCGATGATGAATCGCTAGTTAAAAAAGACTATTTAAGACTGTTTTTGTCGATTTCATTTCATGAATAAAGACTTTGGTTAAGTTAGTTTGCTAAGTTTGTTTTCTAGGCTAATGAATGGTTATAATGGTTATAAGTGGCGCAATCGAGCTAAATAACATTTAATAGTTTAAGATTAATTCAATTACAGAATGCATTTTTACCTTAATTTGAGGTTGGTTGATCGGAAAAAGTTCGTGCAAAATAAAACCCTAGGGGCTTAAATTCATGAACTGGTAGTAGGGAGAAGGGGGCCTAAATCCATCCACGTTAAAGGCCTGGATTGTTGTTCAAAATGGTTGAATCAGATATCTACGAGATATGATTGCTCGTGTTCCAGCTGAGTTATTTCAGGATGGTTCTCGATCTCTTTTGCTGATGATGTGCTGGGGCAAAATCGACTGCTTGAAAAGTTTATATTTTTCTATAGTATTAGGGTGTGTCTGATTAAATTTCACTGGCATAATTTTTTAATTTTTCATTAAACAAAATTGGTAGCTCGAATAAATGATAACTTTAGGTTAATATCGTATGAAAACTGCTGCTGTTTTAGCTATCAAAGATTTTCATCGACGACACCCGGGTGAAATCTCAGTTCCACTCTCAGTCGAGTTCCAGAACATGCAACTTGCAAGAGGAGATCCCAAAAAGTGCGAGGAGTCGCTCCCCGTTTTGTTTTCAGACGAAGAGGACTTCGGACGCTACCTGGACATGAATGCGCTTCACCAACAGTATTTGAACTTGAAGTCAGTCACTTATGTCGACTACATCACATATTTGGCCACTTTCGACCGCCTGTTCGAGTACCCGCGCGAGAACAAAAATGCAGAGTATAAACGATATCTGAATGCAATTGTAGATTACTTCTATGATTTTTACACGAGAGCAATGCCTCTGCATGATATAGATAGTGAGATTGCGGTTTTGAAGGATGATTTTGAAGTCAAGTGGGAAGGTGGAATTTTTCCAGGCTGGGGCAAGGATGGATCGGGAGTGTTAAGTCAAAGTGGAACCAGACTTGATTTGTCAGCATTTTCATCTTCAGAAGAGCTTATGTCATTAGGTTTGATTTTTTATCACGAAGAAAAAAATGTAAATGATTTCTTAATTGGCTTGACTATACAATAAAATGATGACTGTTAGGAAGTTACTCGAAAAATGAACTTTCTGGTAGATTAAAAGTACGATTGAAAAGTTTTTAAGGCTTCTATCGTACTTTAAATCTGCCAAATAGTAAAATAGTTTACAAGTATCTCTTAAATTGACCAGTAGTTGCAATTATGTAGAAAAAGGCAGTTCAATACATCGCTTTTCAAAAAATTAACTGTTTCAGTACATACCACCTTTTACTTTAAATCAACTTAGTGTTTTAGTGTATATGTTTTTGTTATTTTAACTGCTCCTGAAAATACGAAAATTAAAAAATCAATTTTTCGTCTAAGTATCAGTTATTGGCTTTTACCTCTTCTAATTGATAGCGATAAAAAGAACGCCAAGTTATCGTAAACCGCTAGAGGTAATGGTATCTCAAATAAATAATATGGAGCTGTATGTTAAAAAGTCAACCAAAAAGACAAATTGCTCGATTTTTTCTAGGAAGGCTTTCTCCGAATTTCTTAAAAACAGTTAGCTTGTTACTTTTCGGAGCGATAGTCTAATCATGGAACCGTACTGAAAATCAGATTGGGGGAATGTTTCGCAGTTAATTAGTTTTCAGTTAGTCTAAATTTTCAGGCCTTGACAGACTAAAATCAGCTCTTCAAGCTCTTGGGCTCAAATGTGGAGGCACGTTAGAAGAAAGGGCGAAACGTCTGTTTGCAACGAAGGGTAAACGAGTCTCGGAGCTGGATCCAAGTCTGGTCCAATCCGGAAAGGCCCTGAGCTCGTGGGGAATCACTGGCAACATGAAAGCCAAGGAGATTGCCAGTCTGGAAGCAGTCATTTATGGACTGACGGAAAAGTGAGCTAATGAATGTTAAAGTAAACGAAAAAAAAAACGTTTCATTTTCTTGCTTTGCAGCGATGTCCTCATAAATTAAAAAGGAAATTTAAAAATTGTTTTGAAAATTAATAAAAACGGTCTTCACAATTTAAATTTTCTCAATAGAATTGTAAATTGTCAGCAAGCTAGAAGTATTATTTCACTTTTAACAGTTTTGAGCCTTTTTTCCAAACATTTTTTCTCAAAGTCACATTTGTCACCAATTATTTTAAATAGAAAACGCCAAAAAACTGATAAATCCAAATTTAAGCGCTTGCAAACAGGAAGTGGATTTTCCAGATAAAACTCTCATAAAAAAGTCTCATCCGTGCAATTTAAATTGCTGTTTTCAAATTTGAATCTTTTGTTCAATTTCTTTTCATCGGGAAAACTAAGAAAAAAAAGCTAATCGGAAAAATCTAATTTGAAAACAGTTATTTAAATAGGAAATTGTCTGGAAAATCAATTGAAATGAATTGAACATTGATTTTAATATTTAAATAACTCTTCAACTATTTTACCGCCTATGGTACAGACCAGGGGCGGATCTAGGATTTTCTCGAGAGAGGGTCGGATTTCCAAAAAAAAATTGGAAACTTTGTCGACCTTTTTATTGGGCCGACCAAATTGATTCCCAAATCAATATAAAGACCTCATTTTGACCAATTTTTTTGGATATTTTGGAGGCAAAGGCGCCTTAAGAAAAGGTTTAGGGTCAGCCAGCCATAAATTTTTATCTCAAAATAGTACAACAGGGGAGCCTTTAGGTCGGCAGAGGGTCGAATACCCCGAGGGGGGAGGCGTCCCCCCTAAATATGCTGGTGGTAGGTACCTAGTAACACATTTTCACCCCTAAAATGAAATATTAGGATTATTAATTGCAAGTTTCTATAAATAGAAGCTCATTAGAAAGATCCGAGAGCTTGCAATCAATGAAATCTCGCTACGAAAAAAATCTATGAACTGTTTGATGTCGCCTACATTACTACAATACGTCATCGGAGATCGTATTTTAAAGTTGACTGAAATGTTATACAAAAAATATCTAAATGTCCGTAATTTTAGAAACAGTCTGGTAGATGTTAGTGTTTGATTTTGCATTAACTGCAATTATTAATTGTTTTTGTGTTGGATTCAAGCAATTGGATTCAAACATAGATTTTTCGACAACTTTTCGGTAAACAAACAAAATTAATTTTCGACAACTTAGTGATTACCAAATTGAATGATTCGTTTTTTGCTTGGGGTCTACAGATGAAGTCGGATCTTGTTAGCTAATTTTCCCTATTTTACCTAGTAAGGAATTGCCACAACTGTTATCAGCTAATTCAACATTTAAGCATGTGTGAGCTTTGTACCTATAACTTTTAACAAATTTATTGGACAACGTCTTAAACTTTTGAAATAAATTTGACTTTCAACCTGAAATTTGTTAGGAATAGTTCTCTGAAGTGTTGCGTTTGCCTTTTTGTTTTTTATGTGTTCTTTTTCCATGTCAAACTCGCTGCTGAATTTTTTTTGTTTGTTTTAAAGTTAGGGGCTTGAAGTTTTTTTTTTAAAACTGAGCTATGAAAAAGTGCAATCATTTTGGTTTGCTCCTTTGACAATTCTAACACAATTTTGAGAATTCGTTCGCAATTTCAACGCTATTTCACTGACTCAAGGTCAGAACTTTTTCAGAAATTAAAGACGTTGTTTGATAAATTTGTTTGAAGCTATAGTGACGAATCTTCAATAAGGGGGATAATTAACAAGACTACTCTGTTGAATAAGACCAATCAATTTAACTATCCGCTTTCAGATAAGTCATCAAGTCATTCTTATCAAGTTTAGCAGGCACGCGCATGTGAAATAATTCAGTTTTTGGGGCTGACCGGTCTTTCGAGATAGAAACGAACGAACTGATTTTTACTCATATTATTCGTAATTTAAAGTTGTATCATAGAAATTAAGGATATTCATAGTTTGCTGGTTGAAAAATTTCTCACCCACTAACGCTAGTTTTCTCAGGGGACCACTCGATAAGCTCAAATGCTTCTTGGTAACCCGTACCGTCAATTTCTAAGTTTGTTCTTACCGATTGCTTTTTTTTTTAGCTGCTTAGCACTTGAATCTTGAAAGATTTAATTTTTTAGATTTTTCAGAGCAATATAAAGATTACCTATTCATCTTTTTTCTCATATTTGGTTAATTCTATAAAAAAGTGTCAAATATAAACTATTGCGTTCATTGACTCTTTTTCAACTGTCTGTTGGCTAAATTTCAAAACATTAACCCCACATTTAATTAATGCGCCAATTTTTATTACCCCTTTTAGTGGGTCAATTTTTATTACCCCTCAAAAACGCTTAAAGAACAATTTTAAAAACTAGCACTCAATTGTGAAAAGAGGGAAAATGTTTAGATTGGGTGACATCAGAGAAAGTACTCAGGAGAACGCACAGAGGAAACAGGCGAGAAGTGCGGCTGAGAGACAGGAGGAGTTGGAGGGGGCTGAGGGGGGAGGAGGTGGGGGTGGGGGAGTGGACGGGGAGGGGGAGGAGAGCGACGGGCCAGATGAAGACGAGGACGGTGAGTAGCTGAGTTGCATTTAAATAAGAACTTGGGTTTTCCCATCAAAAACGGATGTGAATTGCTACTGCGTTTGAGGTATGCAATTTTTATGTATTGAACAAAAACCATTTTTAGGCTGTTGTCTTATAAATGGCAGAACTTATGTTGTCATTCAAGCCAAAAGAGACACAAATTTAACGTAGTTCAGACTCTTATATAGCTCGTGGTCGTGATGATTTTTTTTCAGGAAAAGTCTAAAGATGCTTTAGTATTTAATAGAAGTGCGTTCATACATGCATTTATGAATACTTCTAGGTATATATGTACTATTTGAGTTCAATTCAATTTCTTCTGCTAGAAGTTAGGGAAGCTGCACTTTCAAATTACGAAATTGTAAAGGTCACGAAAAACACGTGATCGACTTCTAATTTCTAAAATGAAATTTGGATATCAGACTTCCCAGTGGAATAAGAATTTTATCTATTGAGTGAGTTTTATCAAAAAACAATGTCAATCTTAAACTGTTCTTGAAATTCAAAAAGCTGAAAAGCCATATAGTTTTTTTTTTGAAATTAAAAATATATTTTTTTCGGTTTCTTTGAGTTTGTTGACTCTTTTCCAGCTGACTGTTAGCTATGTTTTCTATGTGCGATTTTTTGTTTGGTTATATTAACGCCCAAGTATGGTTTTTTGTTGGAATTTTGGTTTCTGTCTAAGATCAAATCAAATCATTTGCTAAAAGGAACGCAAGTTACGCTCTCTCATAACAGAGAGGTATTTTGAGAAGTGCAGGTGAGGAAAATATTCGAAACTCTTCGAAATAATAAAATTACCTTTGATCAAATTGTCTTTTGTTGGTTTTTTTTAATGAAAAAGTTTCGATCCTAAATTATCTTGTAATTAAACGAATTTTAACGTGAACTAGTTTCTTTCAAAACATTCAATGTCAAAGTTTTATTTTTTTTCGGTTTTTTTGAGTTCATTAACATTTTCCCAACTGGTTATGGGCTGTGGCATGGGAAGGGAGGCGCCGACTTAAAGATTATGGCAGAATAATTAATTGGTTAATTTTTGTATAACATAAGATTGTGTTCAGTGAGAAAACCCTTGTCATTCGATAAGGTATTTTTCTCAACATTTTTTGCGCAATTTTTTCGGCTAACTTCAGTATTTGCTTTGAAATTCTGAAGTTGAAGTTTAAAAAAGTCAGTTTATCTCTTTTTTTCCCTTGCGATTATTGAATCGTTTCCAACTGTTTGTTGGCTATGTTTAAGTGTCATTGAAATGTGAAGTTTGTCGATTCGCCGATTTTGATCTTTCGCGATTTGAAGTTTTGATTTTAAACTTGAATTCAAATTCATTTGTTAACTAGGAGGCAAATTACGCTGTTCAATTAAGAAAGTAGGATTGGCGCGTCAAAATGTGAATGACTTATAGGTTCGAATGTAGATTTTAATTTTAAGATTTTGCAGCGGAATTTAATAAACTACCGATTGATCTAGTTTTTTTCTGAGTGGGATAATTTCTCGAAATTTAAAGAGCTTCAACGTGATGTATTTTTTTCTTCAAATTTGAGAAGTTTCAAAAACTTCCAAGTTGTTTGTTTTCCAGCTGTTTGTTGGCTATGTTTTTTTGCTTTCGTTTTTGAAGAGTGTGTAATTTTTAGACTTAGTTGTAGAAAAAAGATCTTTTGGCTAGTCGTAAAAATTGTGGAAGTGAAAGAGCGTTGAGGTGATTTTTTTTTTGAAAGATAATGATTGTTCCGGAAAACAGATTTTTGGTTTCACGAGTCTTTTGTCATTTACCATTTCTGTTGGCTATTTCGTACTTAATTTAAGTACGAAAGCTTTGTTTAAGTACGTAATTTAAGTAAGCACTCCTAAAGCTTTGTTTCAAGCTTCTCTCATAGCAAGTAGTTTTCCAATTGTAGCTGTGGTTGGATCGGGGGTTGAGAAATTAGACAATAAGCAAATTAGACGCAGGTACTTAAAAGGAAAATAGACGATTTTGCAAAACTGCAATCGTGAGAAAATAGACGAAAGTGAGAGAGATTAAAATTGTTTACAAACAAATTGCGTGAGAAAAAAATTAAATTGTTTGCAGACAACAGTTAAATTTGGGTGGCCAAAAGTTTTACAGGTTAATCATGCATAATTTATTCAATTCAAAACTCTCCTGTAATAATCGGATTTGACATTTTATGTTTATTTAAACTAATTGTTTTGATAGGTGTTGAAATTTTGTTTTTTGTATTTGTGAAACTTGACTCTTAAGAAAAAATTTTGTTGGCCCTTTCCTTTTCATAGCTTTTTCGTCTAAAATGCTAGATCTGTAAAAAATAAATTTCGTAAAGTTTTGTTTTTGTAGCATCCGTCTTATTTGCTTATCGTCTAATTTCCTAGGCCCCGGTTGGATCATTCTATCATTCTACTCGCTGTTTGTTTTTGTGATATTGTAATATGACTGATTATACTTCAGGCGAACCAATTGTTCGATAAATTTCAATCTCCTGATAGCCTCCTTAGCCTATAAGCAAGCATTTGTGCAATAATCTTCCTTTATTACGAACAAGTAATTGTGCTCAAATGTTTTCTTCTTCAGACAAGTTTCGTCTTTTTTAATTAACAGTTTTTAAGGAATTTTTCTATACCGTCTGTAGATATTGATGCCAATACGTTGAAGTTAGTAATCACTAGCAATCATTTACGGCCAAGTTAAAGGGCTTTAAAATTGCCTCATTTAATGAATGGACGTTATGATAGTCCTGTAATAATGACTATCGGCAAAGTTTTTTTTTAGTTTGAATTGAGGCAATCGAATGGGTCCTTTCAAAAATCCAAAAAAGCACCATCGAAAAAAGTTCAAATAAGCAAAACTTTTTCAAACACTTAAAATTTTGGCAGTCAAAATATTCAGGGCTCCCCAATAATTTGTATTAACATAAGCGAGTGTAGCGTTGTATTACGAATCAACTTCTTCTGCCCCAAGTAGCAAATAACATGGTTCATTTGGTCGGACTTTTGGTACGTGTCACTGGTTATTAGAAGTCTATTGGGGCAAGGGTTTGACGATTGTCACGCAATCATGATGTGGTTGCGAGTACCTGTAACTCATGATTGGGGTTCGATTTTCCAGGCTTGTTTTGATCTTTTCTTTTTCACTGTTTGACCCTTTTAGAGCTAATTTTTCCATTTTCTAACTTAACTTAAATTGCGCTTTGTGTTTCGTCTTTTTGTAAGTGTTCCAACTTTTAGAGAATATTACGGAATAGATACTGGGGTAGTTTTTTCATACCTTATTCGGTTTTTTTTTGTTCAACAATCTTAGACGGATATACCATCTGAAAAATATTGATGTTTCGAGCTCAAATAAACAAAGATGTTTCACCATTTTTGTTTTTCGCAAAAATATGAGGATTGAATATAACCATTATACTTACTTATATCTACTTGTAGCTATATGGCCAATTTGTGTTAGTAGATACGAGTTATATCACTGCGTCGCTGAATTTTTCTTCCGAATTTTTTTTGCAGTCTTCTTACAGTCGATGAACTAAGTGAATACTTCTGTGTTTCTATATAGGTCTTTATTGCTTCTTCACGCTCACGTTTGATTTTTTGGGGGTTTGATTTTTGCTTTCTTTTCAAGTTTATTTCATTTCTTTTTTTAAAAGGAAGCAAACTTCACTATCGAACAGCAAAAGTGTAAAGGCCACGAAAAACGTGATTGACTTCCAATTTCGAACGTGGATTTCCCTATATGGAAATTTTACCTATTCATCTAGTTTCTCAACTTGAGTTAGTTTTATCAAGAGATACTTTTTTGGAGCTTTAAGGAAACACATATTTTATTTTGAAAAATTGCTGGGGAAAAACAAGTCAGTTTTTCTTTCCTGTTTTTGTGGGTTCATTGACTCTTTTCCAATTTTCTGTTGGCTATGTTTGCCCAAGACAGTTCAAACATTCAAGAGTTTTGCCCTGATACGATCAGTTTTTTTTTTAATTCACGATATCTGAACCGAACATTAGCACCATTTCTTATGTTCCAAATTAAAGCTGAGTTGTTGGTCTATGTTGGCTAAAAATAACTTTGTAAGGCTATTGGTACAATATAGCATTATTGATTGTATCTAGCGAGGGAAATTGTAGTTATCTCGGTCCCCTTCTTAGCTTAAATGATGTTGGTTGGCGTAAATTACTGCCTTAGTTCTATTTGAACTTTTTCTCGACACTGGAAAATTCATGAAACTGTAAATGTTGAGCGAATCACGAGTGAACTAACTCCAATGTGGTGCATCCTGTTGACCACGAACGAAGTTTCACTGTTATATAAACCAGCCGAAGTATCAACCAGCCGAAAATACGTATGTGTTATATAATAGTTATGTAACAATTATGTAACAGTTACGAAAGTTATGCCAATTCATTCAGATGATGAAACTTTTCGGATGGCATATATACTCCGCGCATTTTGGGTTGGCTTATTCTTCGGCTGGTTTATTTACTCTCGAAGTTTCGTGTTTGTTGATTTTTCAAAACAACTCAATTTAATTTTGTTCACATTACTTACATTTATAAACTCTTACCTTTTCCGGTTTGCCATCAGGTTTGTCCTATGTTTCTGAACACGTGATTTTCATTTGTTGTGCTGATTTCCTTTTAGCAGTAGCGGGTCCAGGAAGAGGGGGATTCTAGAGCGAAAATTTTACTAGCGGTCTGTCTTTTTTATTTTTTATTTTATAGCACTCGTTTTTGCGCGAACAACCTTAAATTTTTACTGGTTCTAACAAAGACGGGAAACCCAGCGCGAAAAACACAATTTTGACCTAAGTTTTTCAATGAATGCTCAAAAAATGTATTCGATTTTTAAAAAATTCTCACTAATTAAGCAAAAATTTATGAGAAATATCGTCACTGAAGAAGGGTTTTGGTAGTTCAGAAATTGGAAAAAATGATCTAAAACAGGATAAATTTTCTCAAGTGACCTGCCCCTCGTCAAGATATTCCTCTGCTCACCACTGCATTGTTGATATATCAATTATTTCCGTAAATGGTTATAAAAGCAGACAGCTGCAGATAATGGATTAGTCTAAATGAATGCTTGTTGACTTGTTCCAAGAAGAATTAAAGGAATGATTCTTAACCACAGAATTACTCTGGTGCTAAGTTTTCATTCAAAATTGTAACTGAAAAATTGAATTTTTGGAGGATGTAGCTTATGAATTGTTTGCTGACGTACCTTGGTCACAGGCCAATTTAAATGATAATTTTTTTGCCAAGCAAAAATCTGTAAGCATATTTACACCGAAGACTTTAGTCAAGGTGTTATGGTATCGTGTAACGGGTTTTTTTTTAATGTTGTCTGTTGTCAAGTGTCGACAAATAACGTCCACAGTTATCAATTATCATGTGGGCTGGACTATATCGCGCTATGTCACGTGATTGCGTATGTTTGTTTCTTTATTTGTTCATCTTTATTTATTTAATTATCTGTTCTTCTATTTATTTAATTATGTTTAGTTTGCTTATATTTATTTATAATTTATGTATGTACATATTTATTTTTGTTTATTTTTATCACGTGTTTTGTTTATTTATTTGATTATTCTTTCTTTCATTTAGTTTTGCTTTTATTATTTCTGCGTGTGTATTTATTTAATTTATTTATTTTCATTTATTTATATTATGGGTCTGTTTGTTTGGTTATTTGTTCATGAGAAATTTTGGTGTATACATGTGTTAGTACGATTTTTAGTTCTAGAACTGTTATTTCAGGCTCTTTCTCGATATAGCAAAATTTTGGTGTATACATGTATTAGTACGATTTTTTGTTCTAGAACTGTTATTCTTCAATTATTAGTTGTTCAAGTTGTTTGGTTTTTGCTTCAGTTTCTATGCCTTCGGTGTATTGCGCGTAGCGCCTATTTTAAGTAACAAGGTTGTAAATAAATGTTATTTTTGTTTATCACCACGCCTCGAAAAAATAATGATGCGAGAGTGAAGAAAGACGTCAGAAAGTTTGCCGTCAGCTCCCTAAACTCAAAAGTTATCTAAGTTATGAATTCGAATTAAAAATAGAAACAGAATCAAATTCATACCTGCAAGCTATATTTTTCGGTTAGTTAAACTGTTTTTTTTGTCTAATTAAAATTTTTCTTTTAAAAACCTTTTTCTAGTCTGACTCTGTTGCCTCCCTCGAATCAAATCTGAATAATGGTTTTTATTCGGTAGATTTTTTGACCTCAATGGTATTTGTAAAATTGGCGAATATATATGTTATTGGGATAAAACATAGAAAGGGGAGTTCGTTCAATCGGGACTCATTGAAATAAAAAATGTTCGAGTTTAAAGCCTTGCTCAAAATATAATTCAAAACAGAAGTGATATGTGAATGATTTGAATGTGTATTTTGAAAAGGTTGCTATCAAATCTACACTTATTACACTGTTTTGCCTCGAAAAACCAATTGAAACGTGAAGTCACAAGCCTTTTCTTGTCTGTCACCTCTAATTCTATCAATGGGCTTAGATTTCGTTGGTTCAAAATTATTCTGCCCTATTCAAATCAGAACAGAATTTTTTAGGCTAACAACTTGTCAAACAGAATCGCAATCATTTTAAGTCAACTCTGAGATATTGACAACAACACACATATTTGAGCCCTTATCAATATCCATTTGATTTCAAATTTGTTTTGTATGCCGTTCATAAATTTATTAAGATATCGGTTATTTTCTCTTAATGGCTATAACTTCAAATCTCAAAAACACTTCTCCAAAAGTTTCAAGTTGGTCGAAAAATAGTACCAAAAATAGTTCTAAAGGTAGCCCATATGAACAATCTCTCCCCTAAAACTAAATGGCGAATTCAAGCAGTAAGGCCTTCTTGTGCGAGGCCGAAATCTGATTGGCTGAAAAATTTTACTTTCAGCCAAGTGGACGATATCCTCCCTTATTTTATTTAGGGAGCAGATTGTTCACTTGGTGCCCTATAAAGACGTTGTGTTTAAAGACGTTGTGTTCACTTATAAAGACGGCAACTAATTGCCCGTTTTTAATGAAATAACGAGGCATTTTGAAGGTTTTGATAGCCCATAAGCCTTGTTTAAAAAAGTGATATGCGCACCCCAGTAGTAATCATATTTTATGAGGGGTGGGTCGGCCGGGCCGGGCTAGAATGTTAAAGAGCCAATATTTTGATCGATTGGTTTGTGTTTCAGTACCGTACAATCCCAAGAAACTTCCTCTGGGATGGGACGGAAAACCGATTCCCTACTGGCTCTACAAACTGCACGGACTCAATATGTACTACAAGTGTGAAATATGCGGAGGCGCCGAATACAGAGGCCCGAAGGCATTCTTACGTCACTTCGCCGAGTGGAGACACGCGTATAACATGCGTAACTTGGGTATACCAAATACAGCACATTTCGCTAATGTAACTAGTATAGAAGACGCCAAAGCACTTTGGGAGAAGATTAAGAATCTGAAGACGGCTGAAAGATGGCAACCTGACGTGGAAGAGGAGTTCGAAGACAGTGTCGGCAACGTGCTCAACAGAAAGACTTTTGACGATATGAGACGTCAGGGAATTCTGTGATTCTGTTATTTCCTCTTTCACTCAGAATAGAAGCTCGAAATTGTAAAAGCATTCAAAAGTCCAAAAGTATTCAAAAGTAAATTGCCAAATTATTTGAAACTTGTAATACGGCGATTTTGTGGTCTTGTAGATATCATTTGAATAGCAAGATCAAGATAAAATTAAAAGACAAATTTAGTTTACAGGGCTCGAAACATATTTGAAATCTTTAATGCGTGCTTTTGGACCGTTTAATGTTTTTGATCAGTGCATTTGATAAGCTAGAGACTATTTTGAGCTGAACTAAACTCGTTTCCTGTTTTAAATAGATTTGTGAAGTTAGAATATATCTGAATTGATTTTGTCTTTCTGTTCTCGTTTTGCTCTTTTGCAATAAATAACAAAACTATCAGAAATTGTGGTTTCATTTTTGTCATTACACATGCCAGCTAGTGAGCTTTGTGTTATAATACAAACTTTTTAATTTTTTTTTCTAATTTTTTCTCCATTAAAGATGTTCACTTTTATAGTTTAACATGTGTTTAATAGAATGGAGTTTCTTTAAAAGCATTTGGCGCATGTGAGAACGCGTGAGACTCTTAATTTATACGTCGATAGTTCAATTCAGGATCATAGAAATTTTTAATTTCTCAATTCGAATTTTTTTTTGTGCCTTTTTTCTTTTTTAATAGTAAGGAACCTAATGAAAACTCTTGGATACAGTCACGGGACGTAGAAGTTGCAATTTTTTTTTATTTCAACGAGAAAATGAAAGAACTTTTTCTTCAAGTTTTGTTCGTTTTCTCTGCAACTATTTAAGATAAAGGGTTCAAATTTTGACAAATGTAGATGAAATTATTTGAAAGGGTTCAACCGGGCCAACATTTGAGAAATCTTGTTTTGAAGGCGTAAATTAGCCAGCATAACATAACTAATTTTAGAGGTGTTCTTGCTGTGGAAACAACCTCACAAACAATATAAGCAATTTGAATTTATGGCCTCAAATAAGTTTTTTGGGAGGCTGATGGGCTTGACTTACTCCTAATGTTGCGTAAAATTGACAAATAACAGACAAGTAAAAAACGGCAAAATTTTTATTGATTGTTTCGCGCTGATGATCGAATTCAGTCAATAAAAGAACCATTCCAGCAAATATTTCGAAAAAATTAATGCTAATTTGAAGCACATGAGTCCCAGCAGTTTTTGTGGTGTGTAATTTTAGAATCAGCTCAAGAACTTATACTGCTTGTGTCGTGAAAACAGATATGATCGTTTCTCGACGCGGAACCAAGTAACTCTTATAATTCTGTTATTTGTCACTTTTAGGCAGCATAATGAGTAATTCAAAGTCATCAGCTTCCCAAAGAACTAATTTGAGCCCATAAATTCAAATTCCTTTTATTGTTAGTGAGGTTGTTTCCACAGCAAGAACACCTCTAAAACAAGTTATGATATGCTGGCTAATTTACGCCTTCAAAACAAGATTTCTCAAATTTTGGCCCGGTTAAGCCCTTTCAAATAACCTAATCTATATTTTGTCAAATTTTGACCCCTGTATGTCAAATAGTTGCAAAGAAAACGAACAAAACGTGAAGAGAAACTTCGTTTATGTTTTTGGAACTATTATGTCCCGTGACTGTAGTGTGGGTCTTCGTGATTTTAACATTTTTTTTCATGAATTGTTCACGCTCAAGTTTGATTTTTCGCGGTTTGACTTTTGAATTGTTTTGAATTCAGTTTATATCTTTTGTAAAAAGGAAAGCAAACTCAACTATCGAACAGCAAAAGTAAAGGTTGCGTAGTCGAGTTGTAGTTTCGAAATTGGAGTTTCATTTTCAAATTTTGCAACGGAATAACACATTTATCTAATGATTCGATTTTTATCAATTTAGGTTACTTCTATCAAAGAACACCGATCATGAAATGTTTACTCTTATATAAGTCTTGCTGATTTTTTTTCAGAAAAAGTCTTAAAATTTGTTCACGCTTAACTTTGGTTTTTCGCGGTTTGACTGGTAATTTCTTCTTAAGTTCAATGCATTTCCATTGTTAAAAGGAAGGCAAACTCCACTATCGAACAGCAAAAGTGTAAAGGTCTCAAAAAACGTGATCGACTTCTAATTTCGAAAATGGGAATAAATTATCAGATTTCCCATTGAATTACAAGTTTTATCTTTGATCACGTTACCTCAAATTGGGTTAATTTCAACGAAAAGGTGTCCATCATAATTTGTTCTACAAATTCAAAGAGCTTTAAAGCCATCTATTTTTTTTCTTCGAAAGTCAAAAGTTGAAGGTTTGAGAAAAAATGTGTCAGTTTTTTTTCAGTTTCTTTCGTTTGTTACTTTTTTCCAACTGTTAGTTGGCTATGTTCTTGAAGTTTAAGGGTATCTTCGTTTCTTCAAAAATCGAATGTTGAAGTTTCAAAAAAAAAAATAAATTAGTTTTTTTGTTTCATTGCGTTCATTATTCTTTTCCATCTGTCAGTTGGCGGCGTTTTGCCTTTTTAGAGCTGTTTTTGCCATTTCTCGAATGAAGTACAGCTTCGTTTCTGTGTAATTTTGCAAAGAATACTATAGCCATTGGAAACTCTTGGCGAAGTTCCAGGAAATTTTTTGTGCTTCTGAAAGTGAATGCTAAGGAAAAAATGAAGAAAGTAAAACACTTTTATACTTTTCAGTTTTATACTTTCATTTTTTCTTTTTTTTCTCAGGCAAAATCAGGCACAAAAATTATCCGCCAGAAGAGGTCGATTGATATATCATTTAAAAGAGTTAGTCGAGAGTTGATCGCATCTGAAAATTGGAGCCAGTAAAAAGGTACCGAAGTAGCAAAAATCTTCTAGCAGTACAAAACTAGCCGCGAAGCTCCGTTAGAAAATTTCAGTGTTAAATCTAAACAGTTTAACAAAAAACATTCACAAAAAAATGTTGACATTCATTTTGCATTTACAGCTCATATTACAAATCATGAAAGAAAAAAATTGTAAATTTCTCTTCTCAAAATCCGTACAGAAAGAGAAAATCAACGGGAATTTTTCTCGAGAATAACTGCAATCAGAACATTTTGTGCTACATTCACAACAACTTAGAATCTTTGCGCACTTTGTGGGTTTTTTGTTTCGATCTTACATGCTTGATTTTATTTATCAAAAGATTTGTTTTATTAAATGAAAGAAGATTTCCCCTCTCGATTAACTGAAGCAAAAATAGGACAGGACGACTACGTTGCAAACTGCAATTAAACTTAAAAGTGGAAAAATGTTTTAAAATTGTACTATTTTTTCAGAAAATCATTTGGCGTTTTACTGACAGTTCGGTTATTTTACTATTTGATTTCTTTTCGATATAATCTTGTTCATTTCTTATCATTGAGAAAAGTTATTGATTGCTGAGCAAATAGCAGATAATCTCCAAACCACCTTAATCATTTCAAAAAGAAATTTTTAAACTAAACCAGAAAGTTGAAGAACAAACATCGCCCTACGTTAAAGTTTCTTACCAATTGGAAAAGTGGTCAGATGAAAATTTTTTGTGCGGTATAATTAGATGTTGCTGGAATCGGCTTTTGAATTAGGTGGAAAACTCAAGATAGTAATTATCAGCTTAAAAAACTGAATGATCAGGAGCAATTTTTTCAGCATTTAATCGATTTCCTCAGTCAGCCTCTGTCTAATTTAGTCACAAAAATCAGACCACTTATTCTCGGCACTTAGGCATTAACTTTTTAAAAATCTTTTCAGATTTTGAATCACCAGCAGTAGGGCTTTTAAATGATACCTAAATCATTTACTCAAAATTATGAGGAAAAATCAGACAATTAGCCATAGTTTTTTTATCACATCTGCAAGCTAGGGGATTTGAGGCTCCTTACCTCTAGGTCGGTGGTTTGGTTCCGGCAGATTGCAAAATAGCTCGTTTATCAAAGCTTCTTTTGCGTTTCTTTTTCTTTTCTCCTTTTTTCGCTTCTCTTGATCTAATTTTAACGTTTTTTTGCTTGTGTTGGAAAGGCGCTGTGTAAAATATTTCAGTGGGAACAAAACTCTTCTAAAGCATTTTTACCGATTTTGTTTTGTTTGTCCTTTAAAATAGTGGTTTTTATTTCACAACTGATGTAGTTAGCAACGTTTTTTTAAAAAATTGTTCTCGTGTTGATTGCCTTTGCGAGAAGCGAGTAAATTGCAATCGGGCAGTGGAATTTTTTTCACGTAAATAGTTTTGTTCACCGAATGGGCAAAACTAGAAATGTTGAATTCAGGCTGGGTTCATAATGAATTCAAGTTTCTTGTGTCTCCTGCATACTTGGCCAGGAGGTAACGAATGCGTCTGGGACTGCTTAAAAACTTAACTGTGCTCGAGTTTATTATTTTTCAGCTGATTTTGGTTATTTTTCATCGCTTTAGTGTCGTTTTGAGTCGTTTCAAGGAAAACATAATGTTCATGTTTTAATTTGGATGGCGCAAAACGTTTAAATTTTGGAATTGAAATTTTAGTTCAAATCGTCGCTAAATAATTGCTTTTGTATTCATATTAAGCGCCATTGATTGCGTTTCTAGACAAGCTCTCTGCCAAAAGAAGATCATTTCTGACAAAATATTGAAGTTTTAGTTGTGGCTTATGATTTTTTGGAATTATTGCCTATCATTTTTTTCCTGCCTGCTAGTAACAAATTCTGAAGCTATCAGCGCATCTGGAGTAGAGGCAGTGGCGGATTTGGGGGCGAGGGGGAGAAGGGAATTGTAGTCCCCCCTTTGTATTTTTTGAGATATCCATTTTTGGCTGACTGACCCTAAAATTTTTCTAAAAGCGCCTTGGCGCCATTTTATACTAATTTTGAGGGAGGAGCGCGCGCCGAAAAACACTTTTTTGGCCTATTTTTTCAAAATATTGCCTGCGGCGCAGAATTTTTTTTCAAAATTAGGTCTTTATAGTGATTTGGGAGAGCTCAGAAAATCAATTTGGTCGACCTAAAACAAAAGTCGACAAAATTTTCGATTTTTAAAAAACAATCCGTCCCAACTCCTCGAGAAAGTCCTAGATCCGCCCCTGAGTAGAGGTAACACACCTGCCTGAACCGAGAAACGATTGTGGTTCGAATCGGACTGGGACCTGATTTTTTGCGAACTATATTTTTTCTGCTTTTTTGGACTATTGTCTTTCTGTTCTTTGTCGGCTCAATTCCCGTGGCCTCAGACTGTTTTGGAAGTTTCAGCTTTCTTTTAAACTTCTGAGCACTTTTTTGAAAACCCCATTGGCACAGAGCTTTTTTAAAACCCCATTGCCAGAGGTTATTGAACTACAAGTTTGTTGCGGAATTTCAGTTTTGTTTTTTTTCTATTTCTTTTCTGAAATTCTGGTGCGTCGGATGATCTGC